GCCCAGCCCTTGGGCGACTCCGTATCGATAATTCGCGTCGATACGCAACACTCGTGCCTTCCACTGGGCATAGGTTGTGGGGCGCTCATTGTCCCCATGCATAACCGTGTTGCGCACCGTCGGCCTGATTGCCGCTTCTACTGCCTCGAACATCTGCTTCTCATCTCCGAACTCCTCGCACTTATGGGCCAGCCGCTCAAATTTAGCGAAGAACTCGACTGCGGATTTGAAGTCCGCTTGTCGGATCTTCTTCCACTCCGCCTTCCAAATGGTCAATTCTGCAACTTCGCGGAACTCGCGCGTAAGATCTTCGGAGAATTCCGCCCAAGTGGGGAATCTCCAGTGACCTTGCGGGTCCCGATATCGGTAGTACTGATCGACCCACCACTGTTGCGCGTCCCCACGGAGGTACCCCTGGGCGAACGTGATGCGGTAGGGGTTGTGCCCCTGATCGTTCATGGTGTAGTACATGGGGAACACCGCGAAGTAGACCTCACAGTGGTGGAGGAAGCGGGTGATGTTGGAGGAGACCCCGGTGAAGTACTCGGGTTGCGTTACCAGCTTGGGTTTGATGTCGTTCCAGGGGTTATTAGCCCCCCCTGGTGCCAGCTGCCATGGTGGGATCGGGTCCGGTGGTGACGGAACGTGCGGGGGTGCAGGCGGTTTGGGCGGTCGCGACAGGGATCGCAAATTGCGGTTTTCCCCTGGAGGTGGGTACCCTGCGGGATCCGGATAGGGCGGCCATTTTGGTGGAATCGGGGGTACCGTGGACCCCTTTCCTTTATCGAGGTGAGACGACCCGGCGCCCGGGTCGTCCATATCGTCGTCATCCCCTCCTGCTCCTCCGAAGAATCCTTCGGGGAAGAATCCTTCCATGTCTGCGGGCGCTGGCATAGGCTGCGGTCGACGATAGGGTTCACATCCGGGTTGGGGAGCTCCCGGGTTCACCAAGTTCCAGACAAAGGCCGCTCGGTGCCATGTCTCTACTTCGAGGATATTCTTCATCAGGTATACATCCCCTGTTCGTTTTGCGTGGCGGTAATCCTCTCCCGCCTCGGAGAAGAGCCACTGCGGGTCTCTCTCCATATCTTCCATCATGATTTCGTACAACCCGTGCCAGGGTAACAACTCGAAAATGCCCGGCCTAGGCACTGGGCCTTGAAGAAGGACCTGCCTCACCGCCGCCATTACCGTCGGTTCCAGGGCCTGGTTTGGAGGCCGACTCGGCATCCTTTGCCTCCTTCCTCTCTCGGGCGATGCGGTCGATTCTCGCATTTCTCTTCTGTCTTTCGATGTCGGAGTCGGGGTCGGAGATCTCCGACTGGTAGGCAGCCCAGGCTCTTCCCCTGGCCTCCAAGTCGGTTCCTGCTCTTCGCACCGCTCCGGTATATCGGACGGCGGCTGCTCGTATTCGATTCTCGATTTCTGACTGGGTGGCGTCGGGCTCGAGGGGAAGGTCCCACCAGCCATCGGGTCCTTGGAGGGCGTCTTCCTCAGCTCAGCGGATGCGTGCGTCATGCGCTCTTCCGCGCTCCATTCCGGCCTCGACTTCTGGGGATTCCCGGGCAGCTCGAGGGAGTCCGAGGGACTCGACGTACGTGTGATATAATAGTGGCCACGGACGCTGTGAGAGAGGGACGGGGTCGGCGAAGGCTCTCGAGGCGACCGACGGCTCCCAGTTGGAGACTCCGGCGAGGCGCTCGGAAACGGTAATTGTTCCAAGTTCCTCGGAGTCGTATTCTGGGAACTCGCCCCAAAGCTCCCCACTCGACGGCTCGTGCGTGGGGACGGCGGGAGCGAGCGTTGGGGTCTCGGACCTTGGAGGGTTCTGGTCAGACTCTGGTCTGGGCGAGTCTCCGGCCACAGCAGCCTCTTCCCTGTCGTCGTCTGCATAGACCCAACTGGTGTGGGGGTACCAGGCGACTGGCTCTCCCCTATCGGCTGGCCAGGACTCTGGAACAAGGTGTGGGCTAGCTGCACGGGTGGTTGCGGCGGAGGCTCCGAGGCTAAGCTCTCCGGAGTCGTCGTCGAAGTCGTCGTGACGACCTCTGGCTGCCTCGTAGCGCGCTCGATCTCTTGCGATGTCGGCGGCCACTCTTCGGTCTCGGGCCTGTTCCCAGCTTGTGTTGATTCGGGCGGCCATTCTCCTGGCGGCCGTTCTCCTGCTGCCCCACTCCGGGGGGTCCCACTCGTTCTGGGATCTCCCGCTCCAATTGTCTCCGGTATAGGTGGCATCTTCCTCCTCATTCGGGTAGAGGTCACCGAGGAGGTCTTCGAGTCTGATTCTTTCGAGCTCGGTGAGCTCGTCTCCTTCGAACTCGGTATCATCTTCTTCTTCGCCCTGCTCCACACGCTCTCTTTCTTCTCCGTGCTGGTTGCTTGACTCGCGGCGGACTGGAGACTGGTCGAAGAGGCCCTGTACGGGCGAGTCTCCTCGCTCGTAGAGTACCCCCCGGGTATCGGTGACATCGACGGACTCGGTGGACTCGGTAGCGCTTCTGTAGGAGTCGGTGCTCGACTCTGAGGATCCCGAGTTGGATCGCGACGATGTGTAGAGGGACTCTCCAGGTCCTCTGGGTGTGATGGGTCGGCCATCGTGAAGAGTTTGCTGCGAAGCGGCAGGGATAAAGATTATCGGTGGCGGATACGCTGGCGTTGCCGGAACGTAATGGAACGGTAGTTGTGCTCGTACATGCCTCTGTTGGCGACAGCACCGCTGGAGATAGTACAAGAAGGTGAACAAGAAAAAGGTTATAAAAAGTGCGGAGGCGACGGGAATGGCGTCGGATAAGGGCATCCGTCCGTTGGCTTATCTTTCGAGAGGGCCAGCGGTAAGGATGGACCATACGACGGTCAAGGCGATAATGGTTAAAGCGGCGAGGGTCGCGATAATCAGGTTGAGGTCGGTCTCGTAGCTCGAGCCGGTCATCAACGGGGTATCGTCGTTAAAAGAGGGGTCAGTCAATGTCAACAGTACGACTGCTATCAAGGATGCTGACTGTAAGGATAGTTTGAATAGGTTCGTGGTGCCTCAGACGAGAGGAACGTATACGCCGTAGAGAGCGATTAGCAGTCCTGCTAGAATCGGTGCGGCGATACAGACTCGGATGAGGGCCAAGGTGAGTAGAACAGTTACTAGAACTGGAAAGATGGGGTCGTTTGCTAGGTGGGGAAGAATCCAAGCGATTACCGCGGCTTGGAGCAGTAGGTCAAAGGGGGTGACCCAAAGGACCACCGCGACAAAGAAGTGTATCGGATGAATTGTGAGTGCTTTTCCGTCGGTCCACTCGCTGTGCGTTGACAAGCACCGGGTTGTCCACACGAACGCAGGCGATGACCTCTTCTGGTCAAGCAAGGTAAGTTTCTTTAGAAGTAATCGGGCAGCGTTCTTTCTAGGAAGTGGCGCTGGGCGATTGTAGACGAGCTTCGGCTAAATGTAAGCCACTAACTCAATCGACTTAGATCGTGCTAAGGTCGCTACTCGCACTTCGGTAGTCGACGCTTCAGCAAGTCAAAGGCGATGCAAGTCGATGGGACAGATAGTCACGAAGGACGGAGTTCGATGTTAGGTAGAATAAACCTTAGCCGAAGCTGGGGTTTAGACCAGCCGAGGCTCTACTTAAATACATATTGGATAGACTAAAAATAGTACTGTGAGAGCGTCCGATCAGAATCGCATCAAAAGGTAAGCCTGAATACGTAAGGAAAAGAAAAGAAAAGAATAAACCGTAACACACTGCCCAATCTGAACCTGGAATTGATATGAATATTACGAAACTAGGTGGTGTAGCAGCATAGAATGGGAATAGTGTGTAAGTGCATAGCTAGGTATGGTCTGCTATACGAGGTGCATAGAACTACGTAGGTACCTTGTAGAGCCATGTGCATGTATAACGGTATGGCTTGCATGATTCGCATGGTGCCACACGTACCATACGGATGTTAACTTACTGATGTACGGCGTTATTATTCTTTTTCGATGGAGCCGGACGTACCCTTCGCTTATATTCCGCCCAGGGGGCAGATGGTGTAGTGGTTACCTCTGCTTGCTCGATTGTACCTCGTTCCACACAGAAAATATTTATTTTCGCACTCGCGAGTTCGAGCCCCCCACCCCCCAGAAAGTAACACTCTAGACACTTTCCGGGTTCTACCACTTCCGATATCTGAATCACGTGAAACGCAGCCTCCCTTTCTAAACATGATCAAGTCACGCACATTACCCCCTCTAAAATCACACGACAAATCTTATCTCTCCTTGCCATTCTGGGCATCAGTTCGAGGCCCTTCCAGTGATCTTTCGAATAAGACAGGGAAACGGAGTCGCGTGCCGCAAGGCTGCCGCCTGGTTGGGACCCAGGTGTAACAAAATGGAGTGGTGATCCAAGCACACCCCGGCCCGGCACATCGCCCCCGCATCAATTGATCACACTGTGTTGGTGATCTTGGCCGAGTAAGGCAGGTCTGGGAAAGAGAGACCGGAGAAGGACTGGGATTGATGGAGTTTGGTGGGAAGTAGGACTAGGCCATGAGAAGGGTCTGGTGAAGAAACGACGGTGACGGATAGATTGCGGCCATTTCTCGGCAGAGGTCAGGATTTCCCAAAGTGGGAAAAGGTGGCAGTGCCCGAGTCGCACCAAGTTATCGAGGGCGAGGGATAATTTCGTGCCATAACATAAGTGCACAGCTTGTTAAGCTGACTTAATTGATGACATTATACACACAATAACACAGGTAGCTAAATTGGACCATACGCATGCGTAACCAATATACTTAGGATTTAAAAAAAAAATATATATATATATATATATATTCCGCCCAAATCCTGCCAGCCAGACGAATGCATGACGTGTGCCACGTGTGAGCGATGCGTACCAACAGACGACTTGTCTTCGCTCCCGGCAAACCAGTAAGTGCGGGCAACGAGGCGGATAAGAATTCCGCCGGACCGTGGTCGCCGCAACCCCCGGCAATTTTTTTCCCAATCTGCTGATGCGCCGCTGTCGGACGACGGAAACCTCCAAAAACACGTAGAAACTTGCCTACGATCACGCATCACTCGCTATGCTTTCTCTCACACTCCCTCCCCCCTCCCCCTGGCAATACAGGTGCAACCATAAGCTACTGTATGCTGATATTCGCATTATCGCCTCCGTGCATGAAATCTATCTCTTTTCTCGGATGAAAGGTTTCTGTTCGAATCGCGGAGGAAAAGCTAAGGGAGGAACAATCTACTCTAACCACGGCAGTTCATCGGTTCCATGCTTTTTATATTTTTCTTACGCCACATCACCACCCATCTTTCCCAGCGCTCGTCTTCTAGATCGTCGCAATCAGGCCAATAAACTCCCGAATATATATCACGAGGCGGCGGTCCATGCGCGTATGAGAAAACTTCCCTTTTTTCTCTTCTTTCGAGGGGCGGGCTGTTCTTCTGTCTACGTACCACGCGGCATCTCTTCTGCTAAAGTGCCTGGCTGTCCATCTGTACATGCCAAATTCAATCTTGATTTCAGTGTATTTTATCAGCATCAACCAGAATCGCTGACTCAAGTGCATGTAGCAAACTATCATTAACTCCGCCACATCGCGAAGGAGAAGCCTTATAAGCTCCTTATCGTATTATTATGTCCCCTTATATATCAAGGTTTGCAGCATACGGACTTTCCAGTCCTCTCCAGGATGTTCTCCCACTGGCTCCCAAAGTGCCTAATCTCAGCACTACTGTGTACTGCAACTATCGCAGGCCCTGTCCAGAAGGCAGGTCTGACGCTTCCCGGAGACGCGTCTGTTCATCGTGCCGCCGTCAAGGAAATATTCCAGGAGAGCTATGCGGCTTATAAGTATGGCATATAACAACTGCATATCCCAAATTCTCGTGTTTGACGAAACGTTGTCAGGGAATACGCGTTTGGTCACGATGATCTATCGCCTGTGAGCAAGGGCTTCTCAGATGGACGTAACGGGTGGGGCGCATCAATTGTCGACGCGATGTCCACCATGGTACGTTTTCACAGCTAAAATCTGCCCTGACGGAATTCATTCACGTTTCTGTGCAGAAAATCATGGGTCTAAATGTATGCTTAGACTTCATATGGTTGTCAACCTATCATAATTGAGGCTAATAGTAACCCATAGGATTTGTTCTCCGAGGCTGTCGATTTTGCTAGCAAAATCGACTTCAATCATTCACAAACTGCTGATACTGTTAGTGTATTTGAAACGACGATACGATATGTCGGTGGTCTTCTCAGTGCATATGAACTCGGTGGCAAGAAGGATGCAGTCCTAGTTGCGAAGGCCAAACAAGTCGCGGATAAATTGTCACTAGGGTGGCTTCTCGAGGTAAGTGCGATGAATCCTCGGCTATGCACAGACTGAACTGGTCATTAGAACCAAACTATACCGTTTGGCTTCATTGATTTTACAGCTGACTCGCCAGTCATCGCTACCGTACGTGTACACCTGATAATTCAGTGCCTATGCAGCTGATCCTAGAGTTATTCATAGTCCAATATTGCCGAGGCTGGAACGGTAAGGTTTGGAGGCGCGCTGCCTTTGATCTTGCTGACGGCCTTTGTAGCTGGTCCTGGAATGGGAGACGTTGAGCAAGTACACCGGAAATAATACATACACCCAATTGACCGAGGGTGCCGTCCGCCATATCGCGAATCTTGTAGGTTCTCACCATTAGAATCTAGCTGTTTCTCACCATCAATTTCCAGCCGGCTCCTCTTCCAGGTACTTTGCCTCATCATAAGTTAGGCATATAAACTTAACTTTACCAGGTTTAGCCGCTCAAGGCATCGACCCCACGACAGGCGCTTTTGTCGGGGGTTACGTTGTAAGTTTTCCTGCCTTGTGGTTGTAACCTAAGCTACAATGATGTTTAACAGACATGGGGCGGCGGATCTGACAGTTACTTTGAATATTTGATAAAGCATGCTCGACTATCTAATACTGATGACCCGCTTTTCGTTGAGACATGGTTCACCGCTGTCTCGTCATCGATTCAAACTCTCCTCAGGGTATGTCACTGCACATCTATCGTCAGTCCTCCTCTCATTGAAAATTACGAAATGCAGACCTCAACTGTCGGAAACCATGTTTATCTCGCTGATTTCGACTCTTCGCAGACTATTCGTCATGTTGGCTCTCACCTGGCATGCTTTTATGGCGGTAATTGGCTGTTTGGTTCGTCTGTTCTACCCATATTTGACTGTTTGAATACTACAACTGAATTGGCCCATGAACAGGTGGCAAGCTATTGAACAACCAAACCATCGTGGACATCGGGTTGCAGCTCGTTGATGCATGCTGGAACACATACGCCAGTACCGCGTAAGTCCGATTTCCATGCCATCTACTTATAATCTTCGTCTGACTATTCCCAGCACTGGTATCGGCCCCGAAACGTTTGCTTATATCTCAAGCGACGGCAATTTCACCGGCGGGGGTACCATCAGCGCAGATCAGTTATCTTTCTACCAACAACATGGATTCTACATCACAGGCTCAGATTACATTCAAAGACCGGAAGTCTTAGAATCAAATTTCTACGCCTGGCGTGTCACCGGTGATACCAAGTACCTGGACCGCGCAGCGAGTGCTATCAAGAGCTTTAGGACTTTCCTCCCGACTACGGTTGCGTTCGCAGGCATAAACGATGTCAACAATAAAAATTCCACAAAGATAGATGACATGGAAAGCTTTTGGTTCGCGGAAGTGCTTAAGTACTTGTAAGCATCAATCTTCTCTACGTCCTGAGAGTCTCTTATTCGACCTTCTGGTAGATATCTGACTTTTGACGACCCGAACCATATCAGTCTCGACGAATGTAGGCTCATTTTTTCTCTTCTTCAAGCACTGCTGTAAGTCTCATGGTATTGTGCAGACGTTTTCAATACAGAGGCACATCCATTTGAGGCACCTAAGGCCAAGGATGTGTATGGAAACGGTGAACTGAAGGTGACTACAGCATCGGCACCGTTCGTACTCCAACAAGGTCCGCCGTTACCCCAGATTAGCCCAGATCCACATCTCCCGATTCCCCTCAAGAGTCTTATTAACCCAGAGTAGTTTGTAACTCGCATTACTCGTTCTGTAGATTATCTCAATCCTTTTTGATGAAATGTTAATAATGATGTTCGAATTCGGCAAAAGCCGGTCCTCACTCTGCGCTGCGCGCCGTTCACGAACTCACTCGAAGACTTTCGTCACCGCAAGCAAATTGCAAGGGTCAGTAACAATATTGCAAAAGCGTCGCGGTCTGGTGGCTCAGTCTCCTTTCAGTAGAAACTATGGTTATTCCTCAAGAATTGATCGACTTGATCGTTGACTTCAATCACGACGACAGTAAGGCATTGCGAGCATGCGCTCTTGTCTCTCGTGCCTTTGTCGCGTCGAGTCAATTGCATCTTTTCTCTCGAATCAAGCTTATCCTATCGAATTCTTCCACCCGTGAGGCCATACCTTGGAAGTTATCTGGTCATACCTTCCCAAGATTCCACAGTATGATTTCCATATCATCTCACATCGCTCCTCTCGTCACTACATTGGAGGTATATTTCGACATCACCTACTGTCAGCGCTCGATAGTTGATACAACGACTTTTGTCGCCGTCTTAAAATCCCTCACATCCTTGAAACGATATGTTTTATCAGCCGGTTTCGATTCCATAGACTTCAGAGGCTGCAAAGACGAGTCTCTTACCAAAGCCATTTTCAACGATGTCCTTTCCGCCGGCCTTGTGGAACTATGCCTTGATGGAGTAGAGGCTATTCCGGATGTTGATATCTTTTCAACGTCGGAGAAATGGCCTTCGCTCAAAAGACTTTCCATGCTATGGTCAAGTTTTCAGCAACAAAACATTGCATGGGATCTTGCATCGTTAGAATCTCTGAATATCGGGGGCCTTAACTCCTTCATCTACCTCGAAGACTGGCTTTCAAAGAATAACTCCTGTTCAAAACTGCGATGGAAGAAATTTGTGGCCATCATAGTGAGCCCTGCCGACCTTGATATTGTCAAGACAGCGTTGAGGATTCCGGCACCTTACCTCGAAGAAGTGGTCATTGATCACTCATCTCCAGGTAGAACCATCCTATATTGTCAGAAGCTGCGCTGACAACAAATATTTCCAGCCGAATCCATTGATCCCTCCCTTGACCTCCGCACACTTCCAAACCTGAAGTCTGTTCGACTCATTTGTAGCGAATTTGACAATGATGTGCCGTGTCCGTTAATGGGCCCTTCCGTTCGAGATATAACCATAGAGATCTGCCCGGAAAGCCGTGAAGTGTTTAGTCTATTCAAAGGAGGGCCATTGGGGCGCATCGATGCTTCCATTGAAGCTCAGAACCTGCCCCTTCTATCTCTTGTCATGATTGTGATTCATCCTTCGTCGACTCATTGCTCTGCCGCAGGCTGTCATTGCATAAAACCAGACGACGATGCCCAGGATTTACTTGATATTTTCACACTGAGGCGAGACATGCCATTTTTGTCTAGCAAAGGCATCCTGAATATCAGAGGAAAATCGAGTAAGTGTTGTTGTTTTCTTGCTACTTCATTTTCATTGAGGAAAACATAGAGCGTACAACGTGGGGCGGCATACTACCCTAGGAAGCAGACCTTCTAATGAAACTATGCGCACTTCGACCTTAGCTATGCTATTATTGATTATTTTGTAGTTATCTCGCGGTTTCAGCATTCTTCGAAAATCATTCCTTAAGATCTACTAATTGGATGCAGGAGGGGGGAGGGGGTTGGTGTATTATGGTTATCTTGTGTTACATATCAACTTCGAGGACGTTTTTGTACAGTAACATACTCACTACCTCTAAGTACCTCCCAAACTCTCGAGCGCCAGGCTTGGCAGTAAGTACTTATTCCAAATTACCGACGATTACGTAAAGCAACTCAGACCCAAACAGAAGAAGCTCAAGGTTCCATTATTTCTCACGTCGTGCTTAATCGACTCTCCCTTTTACCTCCACTATGCTCCGTGGTGTAGGTTCCCGTAGCTCCCCAATATTCATTTCAGACGATGAATGCGATAATGAAAGCCTTCAAAGCGCGCCTGGCTCTGCGTCCCTAGTACGAGATCAAGCCAACGCACACCCGGAGAAATTGCGGACTGCTGTCAGTGATAACCTCGCTGGCAATGCACAGCAGAGCAACAATTCTCAGCCCGCAGGTGCTTAATTTACCTTCTTTATCGTGCCGTTCGCTTGACTTTCTATGTACAGGACGTGCTGCAAAAAAGCAGAAAGTCAGGGCCGCCGCCCCAATGCCCATGCCAGTTGCTGGACCGAGTAAAGCAACAAATGTCAACGGCGTGCAACAATCCGAATCGAAAAAGCGAAAAAGAGAGCAGCGAATAGCCAAGAGGCGACAAGAGCATACGGAGAAGAAGGCCCGCGTCGATGGGTCGGCTCAGCTCATGGCACAAGCTATGGCTGCTTTCCCACCCTCGTTTCCGCCCCTTTCCCCTACAACCGACATGTCGCCTGGCTTTTTTATGCCTCCAGACCCTTTTGGTTATCCACCCTTCCCTTATCAAGGCTTTCCAATGGGTCAACCCCTCAATGTCTCTACTTCTAATTGGGTCAATTCTATGGCAAGCATTGCGGAACCTCTTCCTGGCTCATTCACCCTCGACTTGGAATATATACTCAGACATCTCCCAGTGGCCTCAAATCTCACCACCGTCAGGAGCACACACTAGACCTACCCCGGGCCCTGTGGAATCGCCGCCGGCCTCATCATCGTTACTCCCAACACCTTCTTCTGCATCTTCATCTCTTCCAGAAACTCCGAGACTTCCCTTGAAGCCCGGTAGCCAAAAACCGAAGAAGCCCTCCACCACGATGATTGGCATGCAGTCTGACCGCGACCCCGAGGGTAAACGGCGCACATTCAGAGTCAAGCCTACCACTCACATGGATGCTGATTCAACTGTCCAATTCCCTTACAAGCCAGACCCGTTGCGCACACTCGTCATGGAGCAAATCCCGAAGATACATAGGAATATCGATTACATCCGAACCTGGTGCAAGAACGTGTCTGACTGTTCCCCGGTTTTCGTCGCTGTAGAGGCTAGTAATGCGAATGCTGTCATTGAGTTTCCATCAGTCGAACTTGCGCGGAAGGCATGGGTGAGTCCTAGGCTAGGCCCGCCTAATCTATCAGGCACGACTATCAAGGGGGCGCCTAGGGAAGATCTCATTCGAGTATGGTGGTATCTAGTCTCAGAACCGGCGGTGGAATTTACGATGAAGGAGCTAGAAGACGGCGAAATTGAGGACACTGCCGCTATGAAGGAGGCTGCAAAGAAAGATGCCGCTAAGGAAGCTCAGCTCCAAAGCCGTCGTGAGAGGAAGAGAGCAAAAAAAGCGGTGAAAGAGGCAGAAGAAAAGCTTGCGTTGGAAAAAGCCAACCTTTCTCAAGTCCATTCTCCTGCTTCGCCTTTAATCCAGAGTTCTGCAGTGTATACTCCTGCATCTGTCACATCTCCTGCTCCTTCCGCATTTACCCCACTCCCTCCCCCACTTTGTCACGCTCTACCATCAGCACCTTCATTGCCATCGATACCTCAATTTCCTGTTACCGAGACATTTCAACCAAAGATCCCTCTGCCCCCTCAATCCGAACTCGCTCCGAATTGGCGACCGGCACCAATCGATACCACTAAGTTTTCCACCTTCCGCGATGATCCTGGATCATCGCTGATTACGGTCAGCTCCGTCGGCGCAAGCGACATGGGGCCGCCGTCGGCACACCTCTACATTCCACTATCTTCTCGATCTACAAGCCAATCAGAAGATATGGATGTCGACATCGATATGGAGGTCGAAACACCATCTAGTTATCATAATCCATCTCCTCTGTTGAGTCACGAGCGTAGCTCAGTTCCTCATGCATCTAACGAAGACCCGGTCACTATTCCTCCCGCTATAGTAACATCTTCGGCCACCCCACAAACAGCCTCATCGATCATCACTCATTTGTCAGAGTCCAGCCACAATTGGCCCACATCCATACCCATATCTGCATCTAATCTTGGATCGCCTGCTACGTCTGCATCGCCTACTCCTCCTCCCTCAGAGCCACGAGCGATGAAAAATGCGCCGAAAGGACCGTCATTCGTCTTCCGATCACTAGCCGTCAAGCAAAAGGAACTGGAAGAACGGATTGCGAGAGAACGAAATTCCATTGGTATCGGGAAGATGGACGCCCAGCCACCTATACAAGTAACCCCTCCAGTCTTGTCAACAGAACAGGTCATCGACAATATGGCTATGGAGGAGAAGCTGCGTCAATTAGTTTTAGCAAGTCAAAGAAAGAAGCTAAAGTCGACACTCACGGCTTCCGTCGACGTTTCGACGCCTCCTGTTGCGCCTCGATCATTAGAGGATCCTGTATCTATAGAATCCCCAACACTTACACCACCTCCAGCACTAGAATCTATACCCAAGAGCTCTGATGTCGTATCGACGCCGGTCCCAGACAATGCTCTTGACGATCTTGCCGTATCTTTCATTACTGAGACCATACAAACCCTCGAAACGCCTCGCGGACGGCCCGCATTGACATCGCCACTTCCCCTGGCTGGTCTCAAGCCGCCTACGACCCAAGCTTCCTCTGCCAAGCAAGAGCTTGCTGCAAAACAACGTCGTTTGGAGCAGCAAATAGCGGAAAGTAGGACCCTTATGGCGAAGCTCAGTTTAGCGCGTACGAAACAAGAGAAAGACGTTATCATGAACTTACTCAGGGAGACAAGCCGGTGCGTTTGCGTTTCCTTCGCCAGGTTGCTGCACTGGGCAAATCTGGCGTTGGCTGAGGTTTTATTCCTTTTGGTTGTTTTTGCAATTTTAGGGCGGCCGAAGACGATCGAAACAAGTCAGTGAAACCGAGAAAGAGTTCATGGCCTGAAGCGTCTTGGAATGGGATTCTTATTGTCAGCGACGACGAAGACAACAGTGACAGCGATAATGAAGGTTTGCTATGATACGCCTTTATTTTCTACTTTTCTTTTATGCTGTTTTGATTTGTTCGGCGCCTCCTCGCCTTGTTTTTTTTTTGCGATCTTCAAGCGCTGATTGGATATGTTGGGCATGCATTCAAGGAAGTTCATGTATATTCTCGACATCAAACTGCATTTATTCTGAAAAGAACTTGTTAGGCACTACTCCAAGTGCCCCGTGCAAGATTTTGAAAGGTGCGCTTGCAATTACATTGATTTTTTAACCAGATGAACGGTTTTTCCAGAACGATACAGTCACCCTGACCGTAGGGTTTTCGGTTCCGATTACCCAAGGTTTGTTGTCGGATGTCGTTGCAGCGTTGGTATTATCCGGATCGTAGAGACGGCTTTGGTTGTTTTGCATGCTTGATGGCTGCAAATGAAACCTTGACTGTCGATTGCTATGAAGGAATGTAATACAATGGTTTTTCTCTGCCGTGGAATGATGTGACTGTGAAGTGACCCGGTAGAACATTCCGGAGAATTCCTCGGCCTCTGCATGTAAGAAGCATAGGCGAGCTCTGGCCGCCTCTCGAATTTCTCCGTTAAGACAGAAAGACCTACAGTACTGAGAATGGCCCAGGCCTTGGTCGATAGCGAAGATTAAAGAGAAAGCGAGACCAAAAGAGTCAAACGCGGTGAAGTCGGATTCAGTGACTCGATCTGAATCGATGACATAAGCCGATGGTCGCGTGGTTAAACAGCTACTTACAAAGGCTGCCACTCCCCTTATCCGCTCACCACCACCAGCTCACAGAGTCTACTTTTCCTTTTAGCTCGTAAGTTCCTTCCCTTCCCTTCCCAGCCGTATTGCGAGCTCATCGTGCCTCTCATCGTCGCCCATCGCATTGAAATCGTCCCTGCCGTCGTCCATATTGTCGTCGTCGTGATCCTGTGTGATTTACTGCGATCCTTCAGTCTTTTCGTCGCTACTTGGTACCGTTTGCAATGGCCCTCAAGCGCATTAACAAGGTAGGCCTTGCTGTCTCTTTTTATCGTTTCACCATCTCTGGAGTCGTTGCGATGCGGTTTCAGGGGCGGTGTTGCTCATATTTCGTCTCGTCGCCATCCAGGAATTGATTGACCTCGGCCGTGACCCGCCCTCATCCTGCAGTGCTGGCCCAACCGGCGACAACATGTTCCAATGGCAAGCAACAATCATGGGACCTGTACGTAACTTATGTTATCATCGCCACATCTATGCTCACGATCGTTTCCCTTCCAGGGCGACTCACCATACGCTGGTGGTGTCTTCTTCCTCTCTATCAGCTTCCCCACCGACTACCCCTTCAAGCCCCCCAAGGTCAGCTTCACGACCAAGATTTACCACCCGAACATCAATGCGAATGGGTCCATTTGCTTGGACATTCTGCGAGACCAGTGGTCCCCCGCATTGACCATCTCGAAAGGTTTGTTTTCGTTAATCACTTGCGTCTCCAATTGGAAACTAATTTTGCTCGTGTGCCACAAGTTTTACTTTCGATTTGTTCGATGTTGACTGACCCCAATCCTGATGATCCCCTTGTGCCCGATATTGCTCACTTGTACAAGACCGATCGTACTCGCTACGAAGCAACGGCTAGGGAGTGGACCAGGAAGTACGTCTGGCGCTTATTTTTCTATTTTCGATGCTTATCGCTCTTCGAAGGTATGCCATGTAGCCGAGGGGCGATTTACACAACGGCTGTAATGTAGATTGGTCTCTTGTACATGTAAACATATCAATTTGGTTTCTGTTTTTCGTCGCTCGTCGTTGTTATAACACCCCATTCATCATTTCTTGCGACAATCAACAATTCATTCATGCCCTTAACTAATTACCTCCATCCAGTTACCTTGTCTGAAACCTTCAGTGAACCATATAGAGGTGAGTACTGAATTACGTGCGCCATCTGTTACTGCCTGAATCAGGTAACGCGGCTCTCGTGGGATAAGCGCCCATCGGGACAACATCGAGAAGAGACCCTGCATCGGCTGTGCGTCACACTTCTTGCCACCGCCCTACGCCTAGCTCGATATCAAGACTTGTGATTCATACTAGATGCATAGGTATTTCCATCGCCGTCTTGGGAAAATTTAGCGCATGTCAGGCCGACCTCTGTTGACCCTATATCTGGCCAGGCTTGTCTTCCATATTCATCAAAGAGCGCTTGAAGTCTGCTTCAGGAACCGCGTCGGCGGCGGTACAATGAATCATCAAACTTCATTTGCTTCATCTTAAACCACTAGTCTTTTGGCGGAAGTATAATCGTCAGTGTACCCCTTTGAATCAACCCATAAATAGCGTCTCGACACCAAGCTACTGGGCCCAGAATGAGGTCGTCGGCATCTCTCTTGTGCTGTGCACAGATGATTTCTAGTTCAACAAAACTGGGTTCTCGTGATTATGATTGTGATACTTCCTTTGAGCATCAATCTATAACCTCTTCTCAGCGGATCCTTCATCATACAGTATTTTTTCCCTTCTTGATTTATGCAGAGTTCGAAAGCCCCGGACGCCACCTGATGCTATTACACCAGACGAGCGACAAAGCGTAATGAAACGGCAGTCAGCATCGCATTCAGCGACTCGTAAACAAACGAGCTATCACGAATGGTTTTCTCCCTCGGATTTTTGACTCATCTTTTTAGGCACCCGCATACCGGTTCGGAAATCCTACTTCAGGCTGGTTCTAACCGAGCCTGAATGACCATGACACGAGTCACTTGCTGTTTGGAGGCGGCCTTCGAAACTTGTGTCTTCGAACCATCTGGGCGAGCTCTGTTGACTTGATATATTCGGATTCTAAAGCCCGTACGCGGTACTATAAAGGGCGCATTTTTACAGCTGCCTCCCCATTCCTCGAGTCATACCTTTGAGTCTACTTCCTGAACAGTCTTTCCAAGGCCTCTTTCTGTCAGTATATAATCCCCCTCATTCGTGCAGTGCTGCCTTCTCTGCATCTTTTTTCCTTCTGTCGTCCCTAGAATCCAATTCGCCCACAATGTCTTTTAACAATATTTATGGCGGGTGGGGACAAGGGCCTACACCTTCACTGTTCGGTGCTCTCCCTTACCCAACCCCTCCCGTCCCTGCCAATTACGTGACCTTCTACCTCACGTCGTTTAACCCTTCAGTGTTAAACTGCACCGTCATTGGGCCTCAACAACGTCCCTTTTACAACTTCATCACTGACTCGAATATGCCCACGTATACCGTGCTTAAAGACGCGAAAGATAGGAGCATCGCCCTTGTCGAGTGGCAATCACACCCACTAGTCGAGATACGTGGAGTGATATCAAAGCAGAAAGCCAGGGACTGGCTGCGGCTGTCTCAGGACAAGGCGTGCGTATTTTTGTTCCCAGGATCTCTTGCCGAAGACTTATTCATCATCGATTTATGCGTAGTTCAAGAACGATGGATGTACGCGGGACGCGCTATTTGTGGATTCCGCAAGAGCAATACATTAATGTCTGTTCTTTAGCTATTAAAGGCAATGTGTATACTGATGCCATGGTCTGCGCAGCTTTATTCGAGTGGGTCATCTCCACGTCTTCTCGCAAGGATCTGCCGTGGCCAGGGAACAATCACACTCGACATAGCCGCCGAAGCTATGCAACTTGGACTACTCGATGCAGCTATCATGGCTACTATGCTCCTACAGTGCGGGCAGAATATTGATTGACCATTGTGAATTCAATGTTTTCAAAGAAGTGGACAGGACATTTCCTTTTTTTTCTGGAATGCTCAAGTAGATCTAGAATAATTTAACTTTATCATTCGGGGAGTCCGTCTAGAACACTAGAACAGCTTAGCAAGGGACCTACACTTCTTGTGCCTATACCTTCACCTAGTGTATTTGTACTACAGTTTTATTTTGCTGTTTTTACTTCAAATGGGACACTTATACTATCTTTCTATGAGAATTAACAGATTCCGGACTCAGTTCTGTCAATGCTGTATTTCGAATCAAACCTCTCTCGGAGCATCAAATCCTTATGCTTTCAATGCAATGGAACGTCTGAATTTCGTCACTTTTCAGGCAGTCAAGCGGTTTGCTTTGTTGACAGAAAACCGCACACCTATGATCTGCGGTGCGTTTCAATGTTGATAAAAAATCGGGAGAATTACATCCCTTTGGAGCAAAATACTGAGTGGCATGTACGATCAATGGGGATTAATTTTGGAAGCCTTCAAAGTGATTGGAGCCTGAGTTCGATTGAAAGGGCCGATTGAAGACAAAAGTTCGATGTCACAAGACCGCGTCTGTAGAAGATGATCTGATTTCTCACGCCACCAGAGCTGGCACCTCTGTCTCCTACATTCACCAGACTCAGACTTTTTTTTCCCTTCTCCATCGCGGGCTCCATCATTGACCAAATATTATCAAGTTCTTGCTAGGTAGCATGATATCCACCATTGCGTGGTCTGTTAAGGATCTCCATGGTCCGAACAGGAGGACCGGAATACTGAGGGACATTCTCCACAAGGCGCGTATAGCCTTTCCGTATTCTTCTCTTCTAATAGTGTAAATCTCTTCAGATGACACGTATGTCTGTTACATCAAGCCGACGGTAGAATTTAACTCCACCAGTTCCTTGTCAACCACATCTTCACATGCCTTGTACTCAATTCGAGTCATATGGAAAGCGCTCCTTAACGCGTGGCTTCCTGATTCCTATCCAGCATTTTCTTGTGTCTTTGCTATCATATGCACACGGAGGTAATACCATCTGAGTCGAGTATCACTGGCAAAATACTGTGCGAGTCTATTTCGAGACATCGCAGGTGCGTATCACGTGAAGATGATTGTGTGGTTCGTATGATGATGGAATAACAAGCGTAGACACAGTCTAATAACGGACACACGGTTGCTGCCGGTAAAGTCCCTATGCAACCCCATCTAAAATCCCGGTTGACTCGCATTCGTCTTAGATTTTGCCTGTTTCTCACATGATGCCGCTTCTTGTGGAGTCATGGACAATAATAGCGGAAACGCGTGCTCCTCAATATTCTGGTTAGAGCATTGGATGCATTATTTGGACTCCTGACAGTGCATTCACCAGCCTGTTCACTTGATACGAATATCAGCTGAATCAATGAGAATCAATGCGTCGTATGGATTGAAGGTTTCAGACATGCGTTTCCCTCAGGTTTTTCACCCGCGACTTTGGCACCTTCTTTTCTCCTTGGTCAATTGAGAACATGTTTGGTAGGTCAGGTAATCGGAATGCATAAAAGGCGTCGGATTATCTGGATTGACTCTAAGCTATTGTGGACACCAGCCCATAGTACAGCCCTCATCCACTACCATGCCTTCCTTCACCGGCGCCATCTCCGTTGCTCTCTTTGCTTCGCTTGTCTCCCCGGCAATCAGCGTAAGCTACTCGCAGAACGATAGCTTTGTAGGCTCTCAGTTCAATAGCGGTTTCTCATATCAAGCTATCTCCGATCCGACGCACGGCCGTGTGTACGTATCTCTGGATTCAGCCGTTCCTATTCACCCTTCTCAGACTACAATATAGAAATTATGTCGACGCCGCCACAGCGGCCAGCCAGAATTTGACCTACGCGTCTGACGACACTTTCATTCTGCGCGCAGATTACACGAACGTTTTAGACCCCGCTGGTGCTGGACGTGACTCCGTTAGGATTCAATCGAACAAACAATACGGAAGCAACACAGTCATGGTGTAAGTCTTGAATGCGTTTAGTGGTCTTCGTGAGTTCATTTGTTTTCTCAAGATTCAACATGCGTCATATGCCGCAAGGCTGCGGGTAGGTCTTTTCGTCCGCCAAACTTGTATAGCTCCTTATGCCTTTCGGTACAGCACCTGGCCAGCAGTATGGACTGTTGCGGTTCCGTGGCCAACCATGGTTCGTTGCCTCCTCGAGACATCCATTTTATTCACTTTTTAAAAGGGAGAAATCGATATTGTAGAGGGGGTCAACAATCAGGCGTATAACCAGGCGACTTTACACACATCTGAAGGTGCGTTCATGCCGTCTTGTTCTTCAATTGTGTCTTCATATTCACCTTCAAGGCTGCACAATGCCGGTTTCTCGGGACGAAACTGGTAATGATTAGATTTGAATCAGATTCGATCTTTCTCACCGTCTGATAGGAATCGAGCTCACGACTGATTGTAACGCTGCAGTCAATGGTAACTCTGGTTGTGGTGTTCAAATTCCAGACCCGCTTAGCTATGGATCACCTTTCAATAACAACGGTGGAGGATGGTGAGTGCCATCGTTCTCCTGAATTATGCTATCTCGGCATGAACATCTTTATTCAGGTACGCAGTTGAACGGACCGATACTTTCATCAAGATCTGGTTTTGGCCTCGCAACAGCAACAACGTGCCAGATGATGTTCGGAATGGAAACTCCAATGTCAATACCGATGCCTGGGTATGTCTCGATATTGATATCAATAGCACGTCGGAACCGTCTTTTGAACTTCGGACAGGGAACTCCATTTGCAAACTTTCCGAACACCTCATGCTCGATAACCGACAGGTTCGGTGCTCACAACATCATCATCAATTGTGAGTAGTCCATAGACTGGTGATTACGCTCTGATGCGATGATCTTCTCATACAGTGACGTTCTGTGAGTGAAAGCGATCGATGTTCTCTAGCTAGGCTATCTTCTGACACCATCTTCTATGTGACTGAATAGGTGGCGACTGGGCCGGAAATGTCTACTCGACCTCCAACTGCCCATCATCCTGTATCGGTACGCTGGCTTTGCTCTTGTATTTCCTGATGGCATCTGACCTTGACTCACTAGACTTCGTTAACAACAATCCCGCAGCTTTCGCTGATGCTTACTTCAATTTTGCATGGGTCAAAGTGTACGGATAGACAGCTTCTTTGCCTTCAGTGCCGATACCTAAAAATGTATAACATGTAATACAAGATAAGTGTCCGACTCTGTGCAGTTGCCTCTATATGGAAAATTCGACCCGCCAAGGCAATATCGTGAGCTCGGAGTTCCTGTTGCGGCATTTTTCACTTGGCCGCAAGCATTTACATCTTGGCGCTAGTGTTGGGAAGTACAGGGCTGTGCTGACCTTTCACTATTAGTGGCGTTAATGCGGAATTAATACACGCGAATACCTCAACGGTATTGAAGACTGAGTGCCGTGGGTAGTCCTTCGAAGCATGGAGTGTCCGCTTGATCCAGTTCGGGACCACTTTTCTTTTACAGCATCCACGCAAAGACATGGTCATTACTCGTACCGTCCTCGTCGACGACAGTCTCTTGCAGTATAATCCTTCCGTCGGATCATCCACAGGCTCTTCACAGTGGGACATAGGCCAGGGTCATACCAGTCAGTTTATCAATAGCAGTACACATGACGCTGCGCACGACGGGCTTTCCTTTGCCTACTCGTTCTATGGTACGCATATTATCTCTGTGTTTGCACCCCAACCCAACATCAGACGCTTTCAGGGACCTCGCTTGCTTGGACTGGCGTTCTTTGGGGAACGGAAGATGTATCCTTCTCCATCTCTGTCGACGATGGAAACGTAACAACATGTAATGCCAGCGGTGGTGATGAAGAATCGAACATATACAAACAACTCTGCCAAGTGAATAATCTAAGCAACAGCGCTCATACGGTTAACGTTACATGCAGAGGCGTCGACTCAGAATCGCCTGTATCCATCGACTATGTCACGTATACTGTCGATACGGTCTCCGGTTCAGTCGTACCGCCGATGCTTTCTCCGGGTATGTCCATACTCATCGATGATAACGATTCCTCCATCAGCTACAACGGTTCATGGTCGCAAACTCGGGTGATACCTTCAAGACGAACGGTTCATCAGGAGATTCAATCATTTTCAGTCCCCACGGAGGCGGTGTACATAGGAGCAATTCCGCAGGTAGTAGGTTTACTTTTCAATTTTCCGGTAAGTCTCACACGGTCATAGTTTGCCCGTCTCCAACACTTTATTTTACTTACAGGTAGCGCTGTATCGGTATATGGTGTTCAACAACTGGCGAGCGGGAACCTTGCCATATCTTTTGAGATCGATGGTTCATCTCAAAATGGTTTCAATGTTAGTGGAAGCGGCAACAACGATAATGCCTTGGCAAATCTTCCTTTACTCAGTGCTACTGATCTCGTCCCGGGAGACCATGAGGTGATTGTCACTCTGACTGAGGTCTCCGGAGACCAGATATTCGAGTTGGACTACGTTCTTTACGAGCCGATATATGGGGAAAGCGAAGATAACGGTACTGCTTCTTTTGGATCAGGATTGTCTACATCAGGATCAACCCCACTCCCAACAGGATCAACTACGTCCTCAGACGACGAGGGCTCTAAGAGCAACACAGGTACCATCGTCGGCGCTGTTTTTGCATCTCTTGTCGCGTTTGCTGTACTTTCTAGTCTTGCATATTGGTGGTGGAAGCGAAAACACCGTGCAAGCCGTGATTTTGAGATTGATGGTACGAAGGAAGCGTTTCAATACAAGATCGGTGAATATACTGTTCCATTTTATTTTCAATCTCGCGATGTTCAAATTTCCATTCTAGTCCCCACAACTGAGTCGTCGAAAGGAAGCATAGGCGTGACTACCCCACCGCCTGCTTTGATTGCCCCTTCTACCAGTCCGCAATTATCTTCCCGTGACGTTCCATTCTCTCAGGACCAAAATGTCCCTCGTCAAGCTCATCCACTCCCGCTTGATGCGAACGGCATTGACGCACACTCATTGTCTGCATCCCGCAGTCAGTATACACAAATAGCCAACACACCAACACCTCGTGCTTTCAATAGCTTTGTCCATAGCCCACCGACACTTTCTAGAGATATCCCCTTTGCACAAGAACAAATCTCACCAACTCGCCAGCTAAATTCGACGCCATTGAGTACACAGGCAAATCCTGTAGAGAACGTCTACGCGACCATAGTAACGGGTACAAGTGACCGAAGGACTTCATCGCATAGCACCAATGATGATCCACCTCCTGTTCCATCAAAGGCCATAACAGGGACTGCACGTTGTAGGTCATTTCTGTGCAATTATTTAGCCCTATCTAAATTATTGCAGTGTCGTTTATCCCCGATAGGGATGTCATCGCCTCACAGTTAGCAATCCTCGAAAAGATCAAGCCACCCTCCCCAGAACCCAACATTTTACATGCCCCCAGCGCCTTCCCTTCAGCTAAATTCAACCCCGTTCCCTCCCAAAGCGCGAAGTTGGACGAGGTCTACGCCAACAGAAGACGTAGTTTAGACGGCCCCATTTCTGGTACCTCATCAACGAGTCCTTCCCAGCAAGCAAAATTACAGGGCACTGACTCGTTGAGCAATGTGGGAACAAGACCAGGAACAGTATCTGCCGCGAGTGAGGTCCTCCCTTCCCAGGCTGCGAAGCTTGAAAAAATCCAGGATCAATTGCAACGAATCACAAGCCCCACCGGCACCTTGTCGCCCACATCACCAACTTCCTTGTTATCGCCTTTCAGCTCTGTTGTTGCCTCCCAAGCCGCTATCCTTGCCAAAAGACAGGAGATGATGCAGAATTCTGCGGGCCCTGGACTGTCTTCTGACTCCGAACCTGGTGCTACAGTACCTGTACACGATGCACATGACGAGACTGGCGAGACGCAGGACCTGGAGGAAGAGGAACAGGTTGCCGAACTTCGGCGAAGAAATGAGATGCTCGTCAGGGAGATTGCGAGACTGTCCGACCTCCCACCACCAGCATATACCGATTCTTCTTCATGACATTTTTGTTTGGACTTGGACAGTTTCTTTCTAGTATTTATACGCATCGAAACATCATGGTCGAGGACTCGAGTAGACACTTTAAATACATCTTTGTGCTGCGCACCGTCGCCAGGTACAGACACGACCTAGTACACCCAAGGGTGCAAGGCTGTAAGAATAATTTGTTCTTCCAATATTACCGGCATCAATTGTCAGCCAATTTTTGGCAATAAGCCCCTGGTCCATGGGTACCGACATCAATTATTGTTGCGACTGAATGGTCAACTTGATGGTCGAGAAGGGCCACAACAACAGGACCAAGGGCGCTGGATTTGCCACCGGCACTGGAACGAGTATGATCGACGTGAGCGTTTGTTTCATAAGGGCAACTTTTCCACGGGCCTTTTATGACAGCCTTCTATTATTTGATGGCTCTTTCGTTGGAAATTTGCTCCGTAAATAAAAGGTGGGACGTCAGAATGCGGTTATAAAACGCCGTTCCCTTGCATTCTCTTTACCTTCATTTCAACTATTCTCACATCCAAGTGGCACGATGACGAAGATATTTACTTTCCTTTCGGTTTTTGCTGCTTTCCAAACCATTCTTTCGTTGCCTCTCAATGAACCGGATGCTCTGTACCAGAATGAACTGCAGTATCGGTTCAAATTGCGCAGCGCGCAACCGTTATCGGAGACTAAGCTCAGGGAACCGCTGGCAGAGTCGGAATCTCATTCAATCCCTCCGCTTCTGCATGACACCCCGAGAAGAACGAGAAAAACCACATGTGCGTTGGCTATCTCCCCCTCTTTAAATCATTGTTAACCTGTGTTTCAACGCAGTCGTCTCTTCTGTACCAACATGGTAAGCGTTTTGTCGCAGCCATTAATAAATTGTTGAATGATTCTTGTGTCCCAGGTCGTCGACTGGTTATATCGCCATCTATGAAAGACATGGTCTTCAGCGACTAGTAGGCTATGTCGATGGCCACAAGGTCATACATGAAAAAGAAGCAGCCCCACGGTACATCTATCGTGCGTACGGGTACGGGGGAGACGTCTATGACCCGGTACGTTTAGTGCCTTTTCTCACGAGGCACAAACTCAACTAAAAATGTCTTCAGAACAAAGATGAAAAGATGTGCATCACTGCGGGTTTTTTTGGTCAATCTCTCAGGCCTGGATTAAAGAAGTAGGTAGCGTTAAATTTCCAGGAAAAACGCCGACGTTGAACTTTCCCTAGCTTTCACCTTGCTCGGACCACACAAATAACCGGTTCGTCTGTTCTTAACGCTGGGGGCAGGCACTAAACTAACTTTGGGTCGTAGCCTACCCTGGGAACACGCTAACTTTTGATACGAATACAGGAACGTACATCGAGACGAACGTTGTGAGTATCTTTCTCGGCATTATCAACTCTATTAATCAGAACATCGTTGCAGTTCTTCCTGGATCCTTTGACCTACGAACTGTCTGCCGAGTGGACGAATTCTGATGGAAGTATGTCCCCGTCTTCGAACATGCCAAAGATCTCATGCTCATCATTGATTACAGGTCATCCTATGACGTATATTTTCGTTCATGATGAACGGATTTACTATACAGGTGACATCCATGCTGTCCAGCAATCTCTGTATATAGATATGACAAGAGTGGTATGTCTTATTGCCATCTCGCTGCCATCCATCTGATCATTTACGTCTTATAGGTCTTCAAATGGATAGAAACTAACAGATAAAGATAAATCGCTCTCTCTCCAACGGTGATCTCCCTACACGTTCCTTACATTGGACTATTTGCGGACTCGGAAAATACAACATGTATCAAGCATTTAATCATGTATTTTTATAACATTGCAGCATATTAAGGATATCGTGTCCAATCGTAATGAGCGAATATACTAACATTCTGCTCTACGCCACCGCTACGAGAATGTCCGTAGAAACGCGCGAACTATGCATAATGTGGGCGCCTTACAAGCCTCCACCGAAGAACCCTAAGAATGAGATCAATACCTGGATGAACGAACGTCGGAAAATGGATGTCACTCACAATACTTGGCCGAATACTGCACCGTGATAGGTTCCGATCCTGGGGTGCACTACGGAACACTTTATGAGCAGTCAACGAGTAGTATAGGAAAGAACACCTACCGAAGCAGGCGGCTGCCCAGCCCTCGTATCGGTCCGGTATACCTCCTTCGCAAGTTCTCCCAAGATCCTAACAAGGGACAACCAGGCGACATCCTGGCTTCCAGTAGGTGCAGGGCTAGTTCCTGTCTCGTTGGCCACCACAAACGCATCTGTATTGCCGAGCGTAGCGGTAAAGTCCCACTCTGGACTGATGCCGGTCCCGGTTATGGGGTTGGTGATAAAGAAATGCTCGCCCAAAAGAGTAAGTTCGGACGATAATTCGTGGGCGGTAGTCGAGTCGGAGTTCTGCCAAGCCGCCAGAACGACGTCCTGGATATCGTCGAAACGAGGTGTGCCGTAAAGACAAGAGATGTCGAGAATGGCTGCAACGGCACCGATGCTTCTGCGGGTTTATGAGGTCGTATCAAGTCACATGCTAGGAAATTATGGAAACTAACGTGTAGGTGCCCTGTTCCGAGCAGGTGTAGTTCTGTGTTCCCACACCGACAGTGATATGAGTAGGAGGTTCAGTTGGTGGGGGTAGGTTCACCCCTGGGGGTAGGATGAGTTTGGCGTTGGAAATATCGCAGCTTTTTCCTGGCTGGACATAAGGAGCGCCAAGAGCTGGGAAGACAAGAGATAGAGCAATCAGAGTGGACGTGAACATCTCGTAAGCTTGGAAGGTAAGGGATATTGGAGGATATGAGTGAGGGACCTATGGAAAGTCCTAGTTTTTAAAGTATCTGCGGGATTCGCCAATACATCAAACATCCGAGACTGCGATGCATAAAGCGCTGAAGATCCCCCGACTTCCCCGTGCGCCCTTAGTGCAAGAAATCAGGTGAATAAGCTTTTGCAAGACTTTAATTCACTGTGGGGCGCCAATTCCAGAAAAAAGGGTACCGCTTGCTTCATAAACGCCACCCAGAATGAAGTATAGTATAGACTGAAACCGCAAATATTATAGTAATGGCGGGAGTAATCTTCGTGTTCGCTAATAGCCTAGAAGCCACCCACCTCAAGAGCCGCGAAGTTATTACTCCTAGAACGTTAGGCAAGTTGGGACCTAGTAGAACCATGTATTTCTGGTCTATGCGGCATGTGATAAAGGACCTAGAAAAGCGCCTTAGACACAACTAGCAGGAAGAAACTGTCGATAACACCATCACCACATTAGCAGTGCGGAGATGAAACGCGCACCAGGATTTGCAGAGCATCTGAGGGAGAAGAAGAGACCAGCATTATGAAACGTGCTAAAATGCGGCTTGGGGAATTTTGTCACCTCGGGTGTGTCAGCTTCTTCGGTCCGCTGAGCCGAATGTAAGCCTCTAAAGTGTCTAACCTTGTCCAACAAGTTCGCCAAGTAACGGGAAGTCGTAAATGAGTTTGAGGGTACTTGACGGCACTAGCGGTGGTCATACCTCCATCGGTACTCGAATACCTGCCGTTCTTCAAGACACGGTCGCCGCGAGATCGCCGTCAGGGAGCTGTGCGTAGGTCACGGTTGGGTTCCTCGTCAGTCCCTCCATATTAACGAATGAAGAAAATACATATACATATTATCATAAATTATGAAATCATTTTCGTTAATAGTGATGAAATGGCGTCATTGGCAGTGTGTATCAATCTTAGGACGGACAGGCATTAGCACAGGTAGAGGGTGAGCCTTCCGTTCTCAGATTCCGTCCCGCATGCATGGTCAAGGCCACAGAAGCAATACAGTGAGAGAATCAGTCTTTTCTCTTGTCCATCCGCGCCGATCCCGCAGAGCAGACAAGGGCATCGACATGGAAAGCCGTATGCGTTCCGAAAGTGCTTAGGATTCAAACTCCAAGCGATCGAACGAAAACATCCTTTCGAAAATGCCCTTGCGGACGGTCTCCATCGGTATGCAAGTGGATTCAAGCCCGAAGACGACGCACGAGGAGTCAGATGAGCAAGCTTGAACTTCCGAGAGCTAAATGGATGGAACGAAAGTCCGAAGAGCCTTCCTTACTGGTGCCTTTACAGAGATTATATCCGTTTGCATTTATAGGCTCTATATCGCTCCCTTTGGGCATGATACCATTTACTATGTACGAAGCCCGAGGGTAAGGTACGTCGACAAAGCGAGCGCTTGGTCAATGAAACGTTGGAGCTGAGCGGTGCCACAGCCATTCTGTGTTTCGGCCGAAAGGTGTCTGACGCTTATCATTCTTTCCGAAGAATGAGGAAACGAAAGAGGGTTATAGAAAGCCGTAACTGGTCGTGAGTAGTGCCAAACTGTCTGGACAGGGGCTATACTCCGGGTTGGCTTAGCTAATTTGCGGTGATTGGCGAGCGCGCCACGCTACGGCTGGCATGCCGGTTGGCTGAAAGTGATTGCCGCTGTGGCTGAAAAACTCTGTCTTTCCGACTTCTCCCTATTGGTCGACAAACTGTTGCAGATGGCTTTCCTTTGAATTCACTGCCATCCTTTAACATGATTCTTTTTCTTTTTAGGTTCAGTTCCAGAATGCGATTTGACTTGTCTGGTATCACTCAAGTACGTTGTTTTTTGTTAATCAGTTTGTTGTTGTAGTGATATCTGTGCAGAGACACAACGATCAAGAACCTGCCATGATACGTCGTTACCGATGATCTACTTAGCTAAGACTAGCATTTTAGCATGCAGGGAGCATGGAGTAGAGTTACTTTTGAGTGCGCGCAGGTTAGGCAATATATTCAGAGTGGCGTCGATGTTTGAGTGGGATACAGGTGGCGAGGGGAGTTGCTACAGTGCTGGCTACATGCTGCATGTGTATCTTTAGCTATCTTTCATCCATCTGTGATATTTTTGAATTCATAAAATCAATTGAGGATTTAGACTTGCCACAATTGCAACAGCCTCCCACTTGATTTGTATGGTGCAATGTATGCAGTAGGGAATGTTTTGATTTCCGAGACCTACACATGCAGGGACGGACAGAAACTTGAATGGAGAGTAAAAGCATAACATGTTATGCTTTTACTGAGAGGCCCAGGTAGGTCAAAAATCATATCCCAATTCAACCTGTGAAGACATTCTTTTCGACCTGCGAAGTGCTGATTATCGACCTAGGCAGGTTGCTTTCCAACCTGTGTTTTCCTAGGTTAATAAATGACCTGTTCTGGTCACATTCAACCTACACTACAAATCCATTAATATTTTTGTTTTATAACCCCGTATTAGGTTAACACTCAGGTCTTTCCGAGGTAACCTTTCACTGGTTGTTTTCCCAGGTTGCTTAAGCACTCTTTTCAGGGTCTTTTCTGCTCGCAGAACAGGCAGTAGTAGCACAGACTGATGTTGAATTCGAATTCAAATCTATAAAATAACAATGGCCGCCTGGTAGAATTGGTAATAAGAAGGTTATGGAATAAGGTGTAGAAATCTATGGGTGGTCCAGTGCAAACTTGAGCTAAGCGAGGCTACATCAATTTGGCACTCACAAGCACTAGCAATAGCATGACAATGCATATGGTGTGATAGTCACTGCATGTGATGTTCGTGACCTTGTTGATCCCGCGGGATCAATTCATTTCTTCATCGTCATCGTTCCCTTTAGCTCCATCCCCCGTCTCAACATCGCTGGATCCGTCCTTGGATGACCCTTGGATGAACTCATCCTGCCCTTGCTCTCTGCTATCCCCATCCTCCTCATCTCCAATGACCATCCTTGCAAGTCGCCTCAAGCGCTTTTGCCCTTCCTTGGCGCTCTTTTGTGCTCTCTTGTTCGTCTCATAAATAACGATCACAGTCTTCTTGCACGATTTGGACTGGTCTCGCTTGGCTGAATTCTCTTTGAGATGGTCATATCCTTTCGGCTTCTCGAGACTGCCAGCTTTGTAGAGGGTCTTGCATTTATTCTTCATGAACTGCTGGATGATCACCTCAGTGGCCCAGTCATTCTCAAATCGACTTAGAAACGGATGCATGTCATGAGCCTGGGTCATAGTAAGTCTGTTATCACAGTAGAAAGAGATCTCAGCTCACTACTGCAAACAGTGTTGCCTTTGACGCGGCAGGAATATCCTGCCATGCACGTTCGAAAGGAAGGCATGCATTCAGTGTCAAATCTCTGGCACTGCGCTGTGATCCCAAATATATTAAACATTGTGAGTCTCATTGCATAGAAGGTAATTGCCCACTTACCAATAGAGCATTATAGCGATCTCGTTTCTTTCTTGATCTAGCCAGACCCATCTTCTCAGCAATGGAATAATCCTTGCCTGGTTGTCCTTTGGGCTTCGGGACCTTGGTCTCTGGTCCTGATGCTGTGCTGCGAGACCTGGCTGGCTCCTTGCGACTCAAGTTGTGACCAGCATTAGCAGCGACTTCGTGAGAAGATGGCGTTCCTGGAGTCATGGGTGGACCTTCTTCCAAATGCCTGTCTGGGATAGGTTGCATGATATTGGTATTATTGCACTCATTGAGGTCGGTATCATCATCAAAGAGATTCCTTGCACTGGCTGTATGACGATCAGCCACACAGCGACAAGGATACCCTAACGTGAGCCCAAGTCCTGATGATAATGACATTATGACTGACCATTGGTAGTTGGGTGGCCCATACTCGAGTTATGTGCACCCTCTTGCTGTTCGGCATGGCATTGTTTGTTGGATGTGTCATTGTTGTTGCTTGTCGCATTCTCTCGTGAAGCTGGAGCGCTTTGACCTGCGCTTAGCTGCTGGCGAAGTCTGGCGTTCTCTGCTGCAGTCTCAGAAGCTTGATCTGCAAATATGGTGAGCACTCTGGTACAAACATTGTGACCTCACTCACTTTCCAGCCTAGCCATCCTCTCCAGAAGAAGTTGGAGGTCTGCCCCATCACGACTGGGTACGTTGGTTGACCCCGATGTCACCGCCACATTTGCGGTGGTTGTCGTTGCAGATACTGGAGCTGTTGATGTCTGTTTATGATGCCTACTTTGGGTTTTACCTGCATTGGGTTGGTTGGTTTGATCCTTGAGAGTTCTGCCAGACATGATGATGGGAGAGGCTGAGAGAGAGCTTGTAGGGCATTCAACAAACCAAACGTGACTTTGTTGGACCCGTATCTCAAATTTCATGCCAAGTCATGTGCTTATCTCTGGTTTCTCCTGTCTCAGTAGTGCTACTACGTATACTCTTCAGAACACCTTACCATGATGCCTCCCCGATGTTATGGTTTATTCACTTTTTTTCATTTTTCTTTGTTTTACTCAGCCTGATTACTCATATGCAATTGTCATGGACAGTCTCTCATGGTACTATTATTAGCGTATCCAAGTGTATTTAAGTAGAGCCTCAGCTGGATCAAACCCCAGCTTCGGCTAAGGTTTATTCTACCCAACATCGAACTCCGTGTTTTGTGACTATCTAAGTCCTCGATCGACTTCATTCGTTGCCTTTGACTTGCTAGAGCATCGTCCACCGAAGTGCGAGTGGCGATCCTGGTTCGATCTAAGTCAATAATAGTTGGTTGTTGACATTTAGCCGAAGCTTGTCCTATGTTGCCTAGTGCCATGTCCAAGAACGAACGCTACCCAACGACTTCTCAAGGCTATATTCTCCAGCTAGACCATAAGGTCGCTGGGTCGCACCTAGACAACTGTCGGTGCCCATCGATCTTCCGGAAGCCAGCAAAATCCACAAACCCCCACGCTTGACCAGAAAGGTCATCGCCTTGCGTTCGTGAGGACAGTTTCGTGACTGTTAGCATATCGCGAGTGGACCAATGGAAAAGCACTCACATATCATTCCCAACATTTCTTCCATTTTACTCCTTGCTGCAGTAGTCGTCTGGGTCTTACCCATCGTACTACTTGATCCGATGTTCCCAGTCCTGACGACAATCCTTGTGGTGGTTGTCATTCGAATCTACATCGAAGCCCTGATCCTAGTAGCGCTGCTCTTAGTAGCGTATACCGGCTACCTCTGAATCTGAAAAGAGCGCACAAACTGTCCCCCTTCATTCTACTCGTACAACTGGTCGTGATTTCAGCGATAATCGTGCTGATCACGACGAGTGAGCTCTACCCTGTCCTGACAATTGCATGGTTAATCGTAACTGTCAGACTCTTCGAAGAATAGATCAACGAACGAATGCCCTTATCCGACGCCATTCCTGTAATCTCCGTAGTTTCTTCTCTGATTTTCTTGATCACCGTATTACGCCAAGTCCAACTGTGCTGCAGGAGGAGGAGGAACCTATGGGCCCAACTTCCATTTCACTACGTACCCACAACTCCGGCTTATCCGCCACAAATAATCGATATCCCGGCAGCATCACAACAGACCCTGCACGATGGCAGACCCATCACACCAAGAGGACCCGGAGAATCTCTCTACAGGACGTCACGATCTGGCTCGGGATCCTCAGAGTCGAGCACCGACTCCTACAGATCTGCAACCGCCGAGTCAGTCGATATCACCGATACCCGGGGCGTACTCCTCGACCGAGGAGACTCGCCCATACCAGGACTCCTCGCTCAGTCTACAGTCGACAGCGAGTCAGGAGAAGAAGGAGGGAGTGTGGAGTCGAGCAAAGAAGGCGCTCTCAACATCTGGGACGAAGAAGGATGCCGAATCAGCTCCTTCCTCAAAAACGATGGCAGGCCAGAAGAAGAAGATTCTGACCCCGATCCTGGAGATGAGTGGGCAAAGAGGGAAGTCGCAGGAGGATTACCTGCAGAGGAAGCAAGGGGGTGGAGAAGGCCGCATGGAGACGACCTCGACAAAGATTCCGGAGAGCTTGCCCTTGGGGCCTCTGCCACAACTACCGCCCCTACAGATGGAACAAGGGCCCATGGACCTAATTGGCTGGCGGACAGAGGAGTACCAGTCGCCTGGTACCCCCACACCAGTTGGGTCTATGCAGGGGAAGAAACTGTTGTGGCCCGAGTACCAGCTGCAAGGACCGAGGCAGAGCCCCCCGTCCCGGAAACTGATCCCGCCGCCGTCTCCAATGTCCAGGAGGATCAGCAGCTCTGGGACGAGTTCCTGGACTATGACAACGAGGAACTTGGGACAATTGCCGGATCCAGCGAGCTCCCCAGTTTCGTCCCATCGGTCCCACCGTGAGCCTTCGCCGATCTGATCCCTCGCCAGCAGCGACCATGGCCTCTTCTCTACCACACACTTGTCCAGTCCCTCCAGCTCCCTCGACATGCCCAGCTCGCCCCAGCTGAACAGGCCAGAATGGAGCAAGCACGAGAAAATGATGCACGCAGTCGATGTGCCGAAATTGCCAGCCTCCAAGGACCTGATGGACTATGGGACCTACCCCTCGAGCCCGACGCAACGGAGGCGGAAGTCAGCCGAAGGATTGGGACGGCTGCCCTCCATTACTCAGGGGCTGTCCAGTGAGCAGGAACCGACCTTGAGGCACGAAGGCACGCCTGGAATGCCTATCAGTCAGAAATCACCGATGGAGACTCAGACATCGGCAGGTGGAGAAGAAACTGGGAGGCGGACCGCCTCGCCAGAGAGCGTGCGGAGAGGAGGGATGCCAAACAGGCCGCCCAACAGCGCCCTCACGATCAAAGTAATGAAAGCGGTCCGAGCGGTACTCACTAGAACGACCATGGGGATGCTGGCGATATTTGGGCTCCTTTCATGGGAGGCCCTGTACGAGATTATGGCAGAAGACATGGAGCAGGATCCACAGTGGATGATGACAGACGCAGGGGAAGATTACCTCGATGCAAAATTAATAGGGGATGTATACTTGATGAAGAACATCCAAGAGGTCGAAACGTGGCACCGAGCGGCGATCGTATGGAACCTGGTACACCCAGAGACTCCACAACAAAGCTGCGAACCCTACCGATGACCACAACTGATGCCGCACCCGTTGGAAACAATGAAATTCGCCACAGCCATGGGAGGCAAGGATCAGGGATGGGTGGGCGACGAAGAGGCTGGACCCTCTAATATTGACAAAGGAAAAGGGTCAACAGTACCGTCGCAACCTCCTTTAGGACCGCCGCCATCCCCACCAAAGTACCCAGGGGGATACCCCTCTCCAGGACATAATCCCTGTCTTAGGTCCCTTCTGCAACCCCCGAACCCACCAGTACCCCCGGTCCCACCTTTGCTGCTGAATCCTATTCCCCCATGGCAACTCGCCCCAGGAGCCGTAAATAACCCATGGAATGACGTCAAACCCAAGTTAATTATGCAACCGGAATACTTCACCGGGGTATCTTTGGATATTACTTGGTTCCTTCATCACTGCGAAATGTATTTTCAGGTGTTTCCCATGTACTACACCATGAACGATGAGGGGCAGAACCCCTATCGAATTACGTTCACTCAATCGTACTTAAGGGAACAAGCGCAGGAGTGGTGGACCAACCAATATTACCGGTACCAGGACCCACGAGGACACTGGCATTTCCCGACTTGGTGGGAATTCTCCACAGACCTCACCACCCAGTTCCACGAGATAGCCGAACTGGCGATTTGGAAGCAGGAGTGGAAGAAGGTCCACCAATCGGACTTCAAATCGGCTGTAGAGTTCTTCGCGAAGTTCGAGAGGCTGGCTCACAAGTGCGAAGAGTTCAGAGATGAAAAGCAGATGTTCGAAGCCGTGGAAGCTGCCATTCACCCCACTGTCTGAAACACCATCATGCACGGGGACAACGCTCGTCCCACCACCAGCCTGGACTGCTAGATTTCTGTTTGAAAGGTGTCAGTTGGCACTTAATTGTGATGCATCAGGAGTGTCAGTTAGAACCCAAGTGTCAACTAACTGCCTGGGCTAACAAATCCCACAGGATCCCGCGCCAGGCAGTTACGACATCAGAGACAAGAACCGGCGAGGTCCGGGGTTTGAACCAGCGACGCAGGCAAAATATTGACTAACCCTATGACATCATTGCAACAGCACAGACTTTAACCAGTAGACTACTTGCCTGTTACCAATAGGTGTAATTAAAGCTAAATATAGATCATCCAGCGCAGCCACTTCCTCAATTAGCGACGGCGCAAATAGTATGTCGGTGGCACGGTATTAGATGTCCCGTACTGCCCAATTAGGATTATGATTGTAAATAACTTGATGACATGCAGGAAAGGAGTAAAAATAATGAAATTATGAATAAACGATATGGCATGATTATGTCATACAGTGCTCCCCCTCACTGGAACTCACTGTTCCCTCAGAGATCCGCATAATCCTCCTCATCCAGCTCCACCTCCTCCTCATCACTCCAAATCCCGATGTTTTGTTCATCCCTATCACCATCGCTGCTGGCATCATCAGTCATCGCTGGGATGCAGTTCGGAACGCGGCGCATTCTCCATTCGTCCATCGTCTAGAGCTGTCAACCAGAGATCCCGAAACTTGACTGCCAGCTGATGCTGTATGTCGCTTTGTTTGAGAGCATAGGCATCCACCTGCTTCGGCAGTGCACCGCCTAACTCACGCGCATCCCGCCGTTGCATCCACCACTCCCTCTCGCCATTCCAAGAACCTCAAGGTTCTGCGCATTTCCTCCCAGAGGAGCAAAACTTCCTCACGTGCCCGATGTGCTCTTGCACGACTGCGAACACCATTCCGAAATGTAGCACTTCATCGTCATTTTCATCAGCCCCATCCACTAGGTTGATCTTCGTCATTGTCCAAATCCAAGAAAGAGTACGCCAGGTTTGGCCAGTCCCATCGCGTTTTTCTCGACTATCTTGATACAGATCGATGCCGGGTTCAGGAAGTTCGGGAACCAATCCTGGCTCCCAGCTATCTTCATTCGTTCCTCGGCGACCTGTTCCTTTATGGAGACGATCTGGATCTTGATAGGAACAGGATATCGCCATCTTCGAGCTTATGAAGCCCCTCCTCCCAATCCCCCAGGCCACTCAGCTTCATTTTTGCCTCCCTTGCCATACTGGTACTTGATTGCTGCTGCTAGTGCCCATTCATGAATGGCATCGATGCCCATCCAGCGAACGTGTTCCGTCCCGCTGACCTCGTACGTTCTTGTTCTTGTACTCGACCATCCGCATTTTCAAGCGCAAGATGTGGCGAATCGAACCTAATGAGTCATGGCATTGCACTGTGCATAGATGCTCCTCCATTTCCGATAAAGAGGCCTCACATACCTGGCTCCTGTGATCCACCTGGTATGCAGGAGGGTAGCCATAGTCTCACCTCCTCCGCTAATGCCCCAGTTGACGAATAATCCACCTCCTGAGTCTCGGTAATAAACTGCAGGAGCCCAGGCATGTATGTGGCATGCACAACTCTTCGAATTTTTTGATCTTGGACCGGAGAAGACTTCGCTGCTCTGCAATGTGAGCGTCTTGGTGAGCAGTCGGATTGGCTTTCAGTTTCCTAACCTCCAAGCATAGTTTTCGCCTGAATATGCCTCAGTAGAAGCTTCCAAAACATACAGGTCACTCACTGCGACTCCTCGAGGGCCAAACCAAAAACCATAAAAGCTGAAGGACTCATGTCATGAACCACCTGTCCCCCATTGCAGCCTGCGAGCCTCCTCTTCCTCGGCCAACTCTTTATGAACCTCATCCTCGGTCAAATCTGGCGGACTCCATCAAAATTGCAGATAGGAAAAAAATTGACTAGATGCACCATCGCTCTGAACACAGAAGGGGTTCAGCACCGTCTTAGGAACCTTATCAGCCTCCCATGCAGCACAGATATCCTCCCATTCGGCGACCATATTGGGCGGCAAGCTCTGTGTAAAGCCTCTGTGTGCTTCTTCCTGCCGGTTTCGCTCCGAGACCGCTGTTGCGACTGCAGCCTATTTATGCGTGTAATTTTGCAATCTAGAGTGTTTTACACGCATACTGAGAGATAGTGAGCGAGCGGACTAAAACTACGTGTTGACACTAATGCTACGCGGTGCAATGACATGGAATATAACTTATGGCATAAGAAGCAACGGGATTCTAAACAGGACTTAGTCACAGCACTGTACCTGACGGGCATGCGTGATGAGAAGGCCAAACCCTATACCCAATGCCTTAGGCTCTAACTTACAAGCACACTCGCAGGGGCTAGATAAAACCTTGAAGATTGCACTGACACTGAGAACACTTAGCACGCTCGCTAACTGTGACACGCCGTACCTGAAAATCCGGGAAAATCCTTAAGCGAGCTGACAGATATCACTGGCATGAGCTTGGGCAATGGGCTTCGGCTGAAGTCCGCGAGCCCGCGTTCCATTGTTCTGAGTCCCATTGTTTGAAGACTCACTTGTTGCCATGTCTACGAGAAGCCTCTGTGAATCCAAGAAGAAAGTCCTAAACAAACACATGCCAGAACTGATAGTTCCGTGCATCTAGACCTGTCGGTCACTAGAGAACAAGCCCACGGGTGTCGGGAGAGCACCTCTTGGCACGCATTTAGCGAGCTCACTATAGAAATGAGACTAAAACTGGGAAGGTCCGACTCGGATGCTCAGTAAGGTGGTGTGGCAATGTGCTACGCATGTAGGAGTCTGGGTACTGCACGACGTTTGTAATTCTAATTCCCCTGTAGTATAAGTAGGCTGGTTACAGTAGGTAGAGGCCAAGTTTCGAGCCCCCGAGTTCCCATGCACGCGTTGAAGGCGGTACTGTAACAAAGGATCAGTTTGTGACTTCGAGCTGTGCATAGAATTAGCGAGCTCACTCAGAGAAATACGAGATACCCTTTTGATAAGACTTTGAGAACTTAGTCAGAGTGAATACGAATCAGTGACGCTGTTTCTGTTCTGTTGAGTGTGATAAGTCTGTTCGGAGAATGTTTTGAAGTGGAAATCTGAGCTCTGTTCTGTTCTGTTCTGTTCTGTTCTGTTTCAGTCTGTTCTGTGTCAGTTCTGTCGAAGTTCCGTTTCTGAATCTGTTTTCCGAGTGCTTCTGAAGTGTCTTGAGTCAAGATAACCTGCTGGAGTTAGTTGGAGAACCCCTACATACAGTTGTGTAGCGAGCAGGCTAAGTCAGTGCTTGCCTGTGGTGTTCTTTTAGTGAGTTCACTAAAGTTTCAGCATGTATTACCTCTGTTTCTGTTGGGATCAGTGTCCCTTGTGTATTATAACTCAAATCTGCCTTGAAGGTCGCGCCGCGCCAGTGAACGACCTTCCTGTAAAAAGTTCCTAGACTTAGGAAGTCATTAGAGAAAGCTTAGCTTCGCTAAGAGCACTGAGAATAAGAGAAACTCTTCGAGATATTGAAGTATAGTTGGATCACATTAGAAATAATCGCTCCCCCTAGAACTTACGAGGGTGATTGTAGTTTGTGTAGTTGTGTGAGTGTGTGTGTGGGTTTTTGAGGTTCGCCCTTTAGCCCGCTCACTATTCCACAGGTGCCCACAGCCAGCCTCTTCACTGCATCTCTGTAGCATTTCCAAAGTGTTAACCCTAGCCACATTCAATACACATCCAAGGGAATTTAACAACACCTCACCCATGCAGCAATATTTGAGCCAGTTCCAAAATCTGAAATGGTCATCAATCAGATCCTGCCTCGTACCTGGCCCCGCAGTCTTGGTTGAGTTTCCTAGAACGTTGTGGGGTGCCCATATCCTTTCAGGACATTCTCCATCCGATAAAGCGGCGCCTTCAGCGAGGTTGAAAGAGAATTGTTCGTGGTCCTCTGCTTTATGACCCGGTTCATGGAACTTTGGCACCAGCAGGGTCACTCTGATATCGGGATTGAATCAAAGCTCAGAGGGCCAATGTGAGGTCATCCATGTGAATATCGTCTTGATCCATTGGCAGGCAATGTCATAGCTGATAATGACCCAGAGCAAATCTGAGAATTGACGGATAGCTGCTGCAGCGAGGGGGTCGACATTGGCATATCTGTGAACCGAGGATGAGTACCTGACCCACAGCTCTGCTATGATTGCTCACCTCTCACCCTTATTCGTATTGCCGACACACGTAGGCAGAACCATCTCACTTCTTCCGCAGGACACCGCAACCACACCTGTGTAACGGAGCCCTTTTGAAAACTTTGTGTTTGATTTGGGCCACGGCAGAAAACTCCATGCAGTTACTAATCTGAGGTAGAGTTAGCAAGATTGAACCAAAATAGATGAATTAAGAACCAACGTCTGCATCTGTAGCTTGACTTTGAACGTATTCCTCATAAGGCTCGTGGGCAGTGAAGTACGCCCAACCGATACCGAGACCTGGGTCCCTCGAATACGACAACACAATCTGGTTCTTAAGCCGGAAGTTCGCGTCGATGCATATAAGCAAAATATACAAAAATCTAGGTCAGTGGGTTAGATTAAAACCATCACATTACAACATCTATGCTTACTTTAAGTGGGGAGGTGCTTGATCCCAGTCTGGAGGGTAGGTTTATTCCCGGCCGAGGACAAGATGGGCAGAGGACGGCAAGCTCGCCTGGCTTTGTACCCTCAGGTCCAGTGATGTCGTGCACTCGCTCGCCTCTCTTTAACAGCTTCAAGTGACACCATTGAATAAGCATACGCATCAGGGCTGCTTTACGAGAGGGTGGTGTATTCAGCCCTGTATTATCCGTCATTCTCTCTAACGTGCGATAAAAATGATATGTGGACATTTTGGAGACAAGGGAAAAGAGGTGGAGCAACTCCAACAGCTGGAACGTTGCACAAGTCTTCACCACCTTCTGGCTAGCAGGATACCATCCGCGTCGTAGGAGTTGAATGTGCTGCGGGATTTGTCGCCCACAACCACAGTAATTGACTGCAACGTCATGAATGCCCGTGGTATGGAGAATTCGAAGCTTGACATGGCAGGGTACAGGGAGAGGACATTGGAAACTTTGGTGGTTAAGCTGATCATGTAAGCCAATCGCTTTCAGCATGATTGGGGCAAAGTAAAGCCCAGTCCATCGCTTAAAGGAATGTCAGTACTGGATGTTCACGTTAGGGTAACGGGGAAAAACTACCTCGATGCAGTGGAATGGATTCTGCCTATGCCAACGGACGCAACAGGATGTGCAGACCAAATCACTGAGAAAACAATCCTTACACCGAACCTCCGGCTCTCCCTGCACCTCTTCCTCAACATTCCGAGCGATACAGTTGGGACATTTCAGATTCTGGCGAGCGTCTCCTCGTCTGTCATGGCGAGTAACCTCGTCTAGATAAACCGATCTGAACTGCTCCTTCCACACCAAATGTGGCCGCCTCTTCCAACCGTCCTCAGCACGTAAGCTGGTTTCCAAAGACTTGCCACTCACCGAAACTTTTGACCTCGTTGCCTTTTGAGGTTCCATTGTGTCAGTGGAAGATGGTACTTTCAAACACTTCTGCATTCATCTGGTCCTCGTAACCGCTCCCATCTACGTCGAGTGAAAGCTTCGGAATCGTCTGGAGGGTTCCACATACTTCTGAGGGTCCAACCTGCTTTGCCGCGTAAGGGTTTGGACTCAGATGAGGACGTATGTCCATGTCGATCGATGCCAGACGTTCGAGAGTGTACTCTGTCATAGTCGTCCTCGAATTCTACGCGACGGTGGGTGCCTTCTAGGCGCTGAGGACGAATGACCGCGCTTCATTTTTCAACTGACAATCGGGAACGTGGGCAAAGTCAATGAACTGCGATTGGCCGACTACATTACATAAGCAACTCAGCTAGGTAAACATACATCAACTTGCCAGCCCTTCATATTCTTAATGGAAAGTGTTGCAATTAATGCTGTGGTGACATACGATGCTCAGCGCCATTTCCTGCAGTGTCTCAAAATACGTTAAAATTGACGAAACTATCTTACAATGGCACAACATGTAACTATGTATGAACGAACCTTTTTCTTATGCTACATGGAATAGTTGCCTGAGCATCCAACATGGTACCGGAGAAGAAGGAGCTTGTCTGCCCGATTCCCGGTGTGTCCGATTCCCAGACAGCTTATATGCTGTGTGATACGCAGTTAAGCTGGTCAGTCGGACAGCCCTTCAATAGCACGCGTATCGCATAAGAGCGGAAGGTTTTGGCTGGGTATGACAAAATCTATATCGTTTGGGAGATGACCTTCCTCAGAGGGTAGGAGAGCGAAGGGTCGTTGGAGATCATCGCCACAACTCAGGTTGTGGGCCTACAAAAAAAGGTCAGAAGGCAGTTAGCGCAAAAATAAGCGACATACGACAGCGGTGGTGATTTCCACCCTAATGAGGCGCTTTTCGATCGTGGAAAAGGACTTATCGAGGCGGGTTTCAAGGTCATTGAAGCGGTTTGTAAAGATACCATGCAGCTCTGTAACAATGTGTTGCCCTCGCTCACTATCATCATGGACGAGGAATTCCTGCCTCTCGACAGCATCCTGACGCAGGCGGGCTTCCATATCGTCCATCTTGGTAGCCCAACCTTCTAAGAGCGCAGAGGCCTAGGCGGGCATAACATCATTCTCACCTACTAGATGTATCAGCGACACGTGAAGACAAATGTGACAACATTCAACATATCGGCTGTATGGGCATCAATCAATCGATGCTTGTAGACTTCAACTTCGGTGACATCACTGGGGGTTGCCCGACCTTGCAAAGCGGGATGGGCTATGCGAAGGGTAAGCTTGAATGTTAGCAACACGCATTAAAGTGGCCTCACAGACGGAAAGGCTTAATCGAGAGATATAAGACGTTGCATTAGTGATGTCCTGAAGAGATGGAGGGACAGAAGGCAGGGGGGGGGGCGAGTGACCTCTGGGGCATGGGCATCTGGGATACTTGGGAGGGGAATGGGACGTGGGGGCATGATGGCTCTGATAGAGTGAGCGACGTGGCCCTCTTGGATTCTTATATTCAGGTCGCGTAGATTGTCAATGTTGGGGTCAAGTTGTTCATGCTTGGTCAGATCATGGAGCACCATATCCTTGCTTCCTACCTACATTCTGACCCCAAACCCTGCATTGTATCAGAGAAGTATAGCGAATATGCTTAAGTCTACTCTAGCTTTGCTGAGAACGATCAAGAAGGGAAGAAATACGAGACGAGCTCTCGGATCGAGGTTCGGCAACTGGTCGGAGTTTCAAACTCTGAAACATGAGGCCGCCTCAACCTAAATAAGTGATATAACAGGCATGTGATCACAAAATGTTCATTGTTGACAAGCAGCGTGACGCGTGAAGAATCACCATGAAGCTTCGAAGTTTTTAGACTTTGGTCTGGTGCCACCACAACCACTTGCATTCACCTCATGAAGGTCCTACCGCATATGTCCATTTTGTTAGCTACCTTCCCAATTACATCCACCGCTACGGCAACTACCTCGTGCCTACGAATACTCAAGCCTGGGAATGCAAGGTATTGGGGTAGTTGCCGTATTGTGTGGGTGCATTGGGACGGCCACGTCGTGTGTAAGATTCCTACCGGTCCTGACCCCTGAATGTTTGAATCCTTAGATGTCATTACCGAATTTTTCTCCTTCCGAAAGGCGTGTCCTTCATTCACTGGCATTCCCACTCCCTCAGCTGCATCACTGACACCCAATTAGACACGTTCTGGTGCCCACTTCTCACCATGGGAAGGCTCCACAGCACCGGTAATGAGCTCCGATCTCGACTTCAGCTTCTCCCATCTCCTCCGCGACTGCGTTGATCACGAGGAAACCCTTGATCCCCTGGATGCATACGATCCCTTCGACCTCAACGAACCCCCCCCCTTTGGCACCCACGACACCAGAACCCATGACGGAATCCATGCCGCTGCCTCCACTGAAGTCAGCAGCCTCCGATCTATCGCCACCTCCAGCAGCCTTGAGCCAGTCTGATTCACGAAGCCATCAGAAGAATCAAAGCCATGCCAACCGCAAAAAGCAGCGAGCCAAACGGCGAGGATCCAGCCAGCCCTATGGCTATCAAGTGTGCCCCAATACACAGTGCAAGCACCAGACCCATGTGGAGGAGATCCCAACCAACCACGCCACTGAGAGTGCCCCAGCAGCATCCTCTGGGTACGTCGGCAGGCACCTTGATGAGGGGTGGAAATGATCCATTGCATTGCGGGATTTAGTGGGCCCGAACAGCCGTTACAAGTTTGACTACAAGGGTTGGTGCAGCCGGTGAGTGCCTAACCTCCTACCACATCCCCGCCTCATTAAGATCCCCCTCCCCCCCCCGCAGAACCGCGACTCCGGTCACCGATGGTGAGGGGTGCATCATCGCCGTTCTAGCAGGGCAGCCTGATGATCCCAGCTGGGATGGCGTACATACCTCGGCCTGCCGACCTCTTGGATCAAACTCGATGCGAATGCAATTTCTCACGTAAGCAGCAGATGCATCAGCATGGCCGCTACTCTGCCCTCTCAGTAGGTATTTCATTTGGGGGGGGACAAAAGGCATGTAATTTGACCCTTCTTCAGGCGATCTTTCAAATAATGTACCTACAGCACCCACAGAATCTTCACCACGAGGGTGCTGCAGCACATGTCCTCGCCACCCTCCTCAACCACATTGCCTTCATATGCCTAGTGAGATTTGCCTCCGGTATGCTATGAAACCTTTACTGCGTACCCGTTGCTCAGACTTCTTAGGCGCATTTGCCGCGTGGGCCCCGCCCCTCTTTCAATACTATGCCTGAACACCTCAAGGCCCTTCTCCTCAGTGATGACAGCCTTATCCTCAACTTTGCCAACAGCATTTTCTGTGCATGCACGTTTAACTTTGGGCCCAAGACCGCTACCTTTGAACATATGGACTCGGGAAACCTACCCTTCGGTTGGTGCTCAGTAACGGTGCTCGGTCGCTTCAACCCCAAGCAAGGTGGTCACCTAATCCTGTGGGACCTCAAGCTGGTAATTGAGTTCCCCCCCGGATCTACCATACTATTCCCATCCGCCATCCTCCGCCACTCCAACACACCCATCGGCTGTGGGGAAACAAGGTACTCATTCACGCAGTATACATCGGGGGGGTTGTTTCGCTGGGTGGATCAGGGCCTTCAGTTGAGTGAGGACTACTGGAGCCAGCTCAGTGATGCACGAACATGATGCTGCCCTCAGAACTCACGCTGGGCGATGGGCAATGGGTCTTGGTTTGTACGCCTCTATGCCTATACTTAGGAAGGGTAACGCATGAATGAATACATATATGTGTACCTGTAGCTTAAATCAAATGTAAACATAATACGATAGTGAATGAAACAATAATTTAAAACCAGGTACAAACTGTATATACTGGATTCGAGGCTTAAAGAAAACATCCCATTGAGTTTGATCTGTAAAAGAGTCTGCGACTTCACCATTAAGGTGGAGGGGTGTATTAGCGTCAACATCTACTATCAAACAATCAATTGAATGCCCTCAACAGCATCTTGATCTTGAAGTTCGATCACTCCAGTCTTGCGTGCCATGAGAACATAATTTCACATTCCATCGTTCTCGACTCCAGTGTAACCTATTCAACTGGGAAATAGCATGTATAGTTCTTCATACAAGCTTTAAGATTTGTCACATGATTGTCAATTTTTGATATTTTACGTCTTGAACCTTCTTGAAATTCACAACAGTTCAGCACTACGACTTTCAATACCTAGTACAATTGCTTGTCGCCTACACATATTAAATCATCCTATCCCTCAACTCATAAAATGCCAGAAACCATCTTTGTGAATGAGGGGATTCACAGGTCAGCGACCAAAAGACAAGCTCACGATATCTTTTAACGAAATGTTTAGGGAACAATTGCTCAGAATTGCTACTGCAGATCCTGATTGTGAATGGATGAAGCGCATTGACACCAAACCGATCTTCATCAAAGTGTCGATGACAATGAACAGTGAATGGCCAAAGACTCGTCAGGAAGAAGGAGCTGGACTGTATGGAGGCGAGGTTGCTGAAAGAGTTTGGAGAAAGTGTGCCAGTTCTGAAATCGGAGTCGCCAAGGGTCTCGAAGAGATCTAGTCACAGCCTCATTATGGTTTCTGCAGTGGGACTCAGTTAATTTACATGTTTATCTCTTATTTGGCAGATCCTTAAGGCTTGATTCACAGAGATATGCACACAGTATGTATGATTTTCAAAGGTTTTATACTACACAAAACTATGCCGGCGGTTATTCAATGTCCAAAAAACTACGTATTTGACGCAGTAGCTACCCGGTCCTTCGTCTGACTTCTATGCCTGACTCATGGCAGTCACAAAGCTATCCTTGTCATCGCTAGACCAATCAAGGGTGCCCCACTCGTCCTCAATTGAAATGTCAAAGCGGGAGCTGGCGAGGAGGGTGACGTGAACCTCGTCGTCGTCATAGGCTTTGCGGTAAATGTCAACAGCATCGTAATAGTTTGCTCGCCACTCATACTTGTTTCCAGGAACGCCGATAACCTGCTCCGCTGTTTCATTCCTGATGCTCCGGTGAGCTAAAGATGCTAGGAAGGGAAAAATGAACGTACCAGGTAAAAAACAGTCCGACTTCCTGGCCTGAAGTAATGACATAGAAATTATTCTGAGGGGGCCAAACATTTTGGGGATGAGGAAGGTCTTCAGGCCTTGGGATACGATACACCGGGCGTTTAGCATGGGAAGGGGTTGTTGTTGTCGTCGTTGCTGCAGGTGTAGAACCCGCAGTCGACGGGGCGGGGGTGGTAATGGTAATGCTGCTGGTCGTGCTAGGGGTCCCGACGGTCACAGTGCTGGCTGCAGTTACTGGAGGAGGCACCGCCGCTGGAAGGGTCGAGGTACCCCCAATAGTATTCGAGGCTGGAAGATGGAGTGTGTTAGAAGTTGTTGTCGTGGTCATGGTCGACAAAGTAGCTAACATTTCCTCAGTCAAGTATCAATTATGAAGGAATACCACATGTACCACTGCCTGCTGACAGGTTGAGGTTGGCAAGAGCAGCCATCAAAGCCGAAAAATCTGGAGAGGGGAGCAATGAAGCGTTGTTAGCATGAGAACGGGAAAAGGGGAGAGGGCGTGTACCAGAGGGTGTGACGCTGGATTGGGAGGGCACAGTGCGAGAGGCAGAGGCCATAGATGCCCTGGCAGTAGACCTGCAGGTTCGGGGTCTTTTTAAACATTCACAGACCAACGAGATATCCTGTTTAGGAGCTTCTAGTGATGATGGGGCATTCAACATCTTTCTATTTCGATGTGTGGTGGTAATGAGCAAGGTAACCGGATAAAAACACACCTGCTACTTGTCTACCGGACATTCCATTTCGATGTATCGCCTCAGTAAGAGAGGGATCCAGGCCAGAAAATGTGTGTGAACGGTCGACCAGGCTTTCCATATTTTCTATTTCGATGGGTGTTGTCAGTAAGCAAGGCGACCAGTCAGGTAACACTTGCCAATTGACGCCTAGGCTCCAGAAACCCATCAAAGAACCAGAAAAATTACATCGCCTCCATATTAAGTGAAATGCACGGCGAAATATTGTCAGTATAGACCCGTCAACTGATGCTTCAAAAAGGAAGTGTCAGTAGACAGCCCAGAAAAAAATTCCTTGCCTTACTGCCATTGACACACTGAAAACACATTTGCTAGATAAAAAAAGTAAGTCTGAGGATCGCTGATGATTTAAAATGTGACGGCTGACCTTCTTGCTAGTATGGGCAATCCTGGCGCGTTCCAAGGTACCCGGTTCGACTTTTTGATGAGTGAGCTCCCTGGATATGGAGTGGCAGTAAAAGAGGACCGCGCCTGAGCCTATTGCATCAGTGTCTGCCGACGATACCACAAAAGATACCATCCCCTTCTGCCACACAATGAAGAACCCACCGCTGAAGCCCTAGCATTGGTGAATGACGACATCGCAGACCCCGAAATGCCTTTCCCTGACGCGGCCAAACTAAGCCCACAACAGTTCTTGAAGGCTATGGAGGATTATAAAACTTATCAGGATACCGTGAAGGCACGCAACTTTGTACGTCATGCCTATTTTTAAATTGCCCTAGTGCTAAGTTTTGATTTGTCAGCAAATCGAACGTTGGCTTCAATACCACCACAAAGAAGCAAATGCCATGGCCAAGGATGCTGATGATCCATACAACCACTTTCTCGCCCGCTTCACTGGCCAATTGACTGCAAAACCCCGCCGGCAAACCCCGTACAACCTTTGGTGCGAAATTCACGGCAAAGATATCGAACAGGAACTTGAGACGATGGTCAATCAGGGCGAGTTAACAGAAAAGCAGAAGCCAGGGAGGCGTCAGAAGATGCGAAGCGACCGCTACCGCGACCTTTCAGAGGAGGAACGGGATGAGTGGCTACAGAGGAGTGAGCAGGAGCATGCAACTGCTATGGAGGCATGGAGGGCTGGAGGGGACGGGAAGGTACCTGATGATCCCCTCGACATTCAGAACTAAGTTTTCTAACTAGTTTCCGGTGCTCACTTCTTGACTATGCCCTCCAGATGCATAGACCGCCTTCCTGAATTCATACAGCCAATCATCGATATTGTGGTGGAATGTATGAGGGGAAAGTTGGTGTTGCTATGGGGAGGGCCTGAACCTCGAGACGGTGGGCATCTCAATGTCGTCAGGTACGTTGCGTCCGTATCTGCTTGTTTTTCTTTCAAATGTTTGCTGCAGCATATGTTCGGGAACAACGCCAGGTCCCCGTGGCCAGAACTTCATCAAAGAGGAGGCGAAGTTATACGACAAGCTTGTCGCACCAACATTTTCTAAGTTCTTAAGAAAATGCTACCATAGGTTCAATATTTCATTACCCATCAACCCCTGCTGACGTCGATGATACAGGCCCCGACCAGTGTCAGGCCTTAGCTTTACCTGACGATGGGGGGCTGGAGGCTCTGGGTTTGACGCTAAGCGACTACGAAAATGCCTTCGTGCATCCGGCTGAAGGTGCGAACATTGTTGGGCACCGTGATTCCTCCGATTCCTCCACCTCCTCTTCATCGACGGTTACATCCACCAAACCCCCAAAGGCTCAGAAAAGAACCTTCGTCAAAGCGACCAAAGCAGCCAAAGCAGCCGAGTGACGCAGAAGACCCAGCGGCCTTCCCACCCTTTCTCAACTTCTAGCATCGAAATCAACGACAGTGTTCAAGACCAGAATTCCAACACCAGCATTACAAACGGTGGTTACTCCTACTTTGCCATTGACGGACCCTCAAAATCCAGAAGCTTGGCAAGGCAATGTTTCATCCTCCCAGCCACAGATTATCCCTTCAGATGGGTCTAATTACATGCCACCATCTGCTTCTCGCCCGCTGTCGCCTACCCCCTCATGTCCCACGTCACCCACCCCCTCACATCCTGCATCACCTGCTCCATCTGCTCCATCATGTGCTGCAACCCCCCCAGCTGCCTTGAAGCTGCCATTCCTGCCTCCCCCTCCTATTTCTCCACTGCCTCTGCTGCCATCTCCCTTTACCGCCCCGGCCAGCTTGAAGCCGAGTATGTTACCAGCTCAATCTCTCATCCCGCAGCCTGTAAGACCGGTACCCTCCGACAATGCCTCGGCAGCAAAGGATGCAGAAGTTGGTGTCGGCAGCGCTGTAGCCCTTATACACAGGTTGGACCCAATCCCGCATGATGCTCCCTTCACTTTGACCCAATGCCTTCCAGGATTCCAGACCGGGCAACTGAGTCTCAGCAAGCGAACTGCTGAGGATTCTCTGGGTAGCGGTGTCATTCTTAAAAGGATGAAGACGGATGGAAGAGGCGGTGGTAATCACAAGGGGAGCCTCACGACAAAAGTGGTAGAGGCACCTGGAGGGACTGAGAAGGTTGTACCCCCCTTATCAGCATCGTCTTCCCGTCTAGTGCACCCCTTTGGGCGGTGACAGTCTTGGAATTGTTCACGTCGCATGATTTCAGGCCCGACTGGACCCAAGTTGTCTACTCATGGGTGGCGTTTCAGTCTGCAAATGGTTTCGACAGCAGCGACAAATTACCCACCAACTACCGCCCCGAGTGCGTAGGTCAATGGATTTCACGTGCACGACCGCAAAAGTGGTGACCCAGTTATGCAAATCTCAATCTTATCCAGAAATTTCAATCGCCCTTCTGGGCGTGGTGGGCGAATCTTCAGCCTGAAGGCCATGTGGGAGCATATGAGCACCCCATTGAGGATCTTGAACGTGAAGACGACGGACGCCCCATCCAAATTCATCCATCGACGGATATTAGTTGGGAGTGCCTCAAGACTTGCTCAGAGAGAAATGGTATGGTCAGCGTTGTGGCAGCGCTGTTTTTCTGGGCTGAGGGGGCCAAAGTTCTTCCTCTCACAACTCATCGTGAGAGGGCTAGATCCAGTGAAGCCCACAGGGAGCTGTATTTTGCTATGGGAGATGTTTGCTATGTGCTGCAGAGTTTGCTTGATTGAACCGCTTTTTTTTCTTATATCTTTCAATCCCGCATATATATATATCAAGTAGTAGTTTTTATGTAATACAATTGATTGAGCATGGGCCATCTCCGCCACGTGCTCTGAAAAATTTCCCCACATTGACTGATCCATGAAGTCCTCTTAGAGGCGGCACCTCATTCGCTCATTCACTCGATTGTTTGTGTTCTCCGCTGCGAGCAATCGCCACTACGTCTCCAACATCACCTCGCACAACAGCAACGACCAACATTGGTGACAAGCAGGGCACAATGATACTGTGATACAATCTCCATTGCCCATCAGCATGTACTACGATATGTGAACAATCCAGACTGAAATCGGCAGGCCCAGTGATGATGATGATGATGGTGTGGGTGAGTGGGCAGGGAAAATAATGCCGAAGGAATGTGATGGAGAATGCAGGATGGCCGTATCAAGGTGGGAAGGGCGAGTGGGGTGGAGGAAGGAGAAGGATGCTGGGCAGGAGGGTTCACAACAGGCTGGACACCGATGTTCGACGACAACAATGGCACTCAGAGCATGGAGGTTCAAATGACCCTGTAACGACTCCATCCCACTGCTAGTACTGCGGTGATTCCAACATGAGCTTTCCCTACACTGTATGCACCGCCTATGTTGCTATCGTGTTGCATCCTCCATTTTCCGTACTGGAGAGTACAATGCATTCACTATATCCTTTCCCAGCCGCCACCGTCGCCACCACACGAGCCGACCCAACACCCTGCACCCCAAGCTGCACCTCCAGCCAATTATGGTGCCTCCCACTGGCATATGAACCACCCCCTTTTACAACAGGGAAGGCAATGGTGGTACTGTCGTCATGTCCGCCACTGCTGCCAAATGAGGCCAACCCCACTGCCAGCTCTTATCCCTGTTGGACTACCACACATTCCACGACAGCCACTTCGTTATCCCGCCCTTATTCCTGAGTGGTGGAAGTGAGGTGCGTTTGGCTGCCCCAGCACCCCATCGACATGCGTATACCCATCCATCAGCCCTCCCTCCACTATTCCCAGCAAGCGTTATGTTTCATGCGTCCGACATCACCCTTCGAAATCTCTCCCTTGGCGCCAAATCCCATTCTCTTTGTTTCCATTACACAAGCCCGCCCACTGCTCATCACCCCTCCTATATACATATTAATATATTTTTGCATTTTTAATATATATATCTCATGATTTTAAATAATTTCACTCAGATAAATTAGTATTGACAGATTTGGTATGCGTCACCCAAGAGGCAGGATTAGCTAAGTAGTTGTGGTGATCTGTGAAAAAAGAGGCTATATATACAGTAAGAATACTTATAATATTAACACTGGTATGGTATAGTGGTTAGCATGATTATGATTAGTATTATATGATGCAATTTGGAATTATTTTGGAGGTCCCGAGTTCGACTCTCGGTCGGCCGGCTATTTTCTGATGATGTCATTTCATTCCGGCCGCTGTGCTTACTAAAGCCTCCTGTAGTATCTGTGTGATTCCCCTATATAGGTTCAGTGTAAACTGATGCTGTTGATGTATCACAATTAAGTGTCAACTAACACTGTTTAATGTATCAGAGTAGCAGCTACAGGTGCCACCACCTATGCTGAATGGAAGTGTTGTGTCAAATGAATCGATGCCAACTATCGATATGGCCTTGCACAGCAGCAAGGCAGTAAGTCCTCCACGAACCAAAGTAGCGGTTCGGGTCGAGGCAACCAAAATCAGAAGGCGGGGGGATCGGGGTCGTCAGGCGATAAGAAGGATGCCACTGGAACGACCTATGGAGGAGCGGGGCAACTGATGGAGCTAGATAAGCTGCGGAGCGATAGGCGATGCTTCAAGTGCAGAAATACCGGGTGGAGCCGGGACCATAAGTGTCCAACGGACAAATCAAAATGGATCCCCGTCAAACTTCCCCCACGCAAGAAGATCCCCACTCAGCGTCTGCGACAGCTGTTGGCCGAGGCAGAGAAAGAGGAAAATGGCAAGGAAACGAAGATTGAGGAGGTCAAGGAGGAGAAGTCATCAAAAGACGAGCCGGCGTCGAAATAAGCGATTCAACGGTGTCGGCAAAGGACTTAATTTCTAGTGGTACATGCTCTCCAGTCGCTGGTTGGACTTATACTACGTATGTAGGTACTCCATATGATCAATATACCAACTTTTTTGCCACGTTACCTATCAAAGAAATTATGGAAGATGAATTGCCAAACACGAACGGCATAGGAGGGGATTTCCACTGCTCCACGCAATCTGCATCCAGCACTGAACCCCTAGGGGCCGTCCCACCTCAGGAACCCCCACTTGACAGTATGGGGAAAGTTCTGGAGGACCCAGCGAGTGCCTCATGTCAAGTTCAGACTAGCGCCAGACGTGGTCGCGGTCGCCCTGGCAGGGAGAATCGGCCAACGACCCCAACTGATGGGCCTTCACTCATTGTTCCTCCAGTCAGCGGTGGAAAAGCAGCTGAGGCTGGGAACCAAGGGGACCACCTACACTCAGTAGTGGCCTCACCCGCAAACGGTGCCGACCCCCTTGGGGAGCCAATATGTGTGCATCCACATAGGGTTACCGAGAGTACCGCCAGGTACAGGAATGAGGATAAGTATGGACCAACAGTGGAGGTTACAATGCCGAGCACAAGCGCCCTTGGCCGGGGCCGAACACAGGGCAGCGAGCCCTCCTCCACCGCCTCGTTGAACAGCGACCAATTGCTGCCTAAGGGCCCTCTTTGGCCTGGTGACCAAATGCCGCCATGAGGACAAGACTCACAACCCAGAGTAACGGTTGAGGAGGTTCTGGATGAGGAAGCCCATTTATGGTCCGACATCCCGGTTACTATACCCAAGGGGAAGTCTCCCGTGACCCCCAAGCCCAAATTAGCACCTGAAGCAAAAAGGGCTATTCTCGACATGTACTACGAACCCTTTGGGGTGCACTGGACTTGTCAGGTGCTACGACTCGCCAAGGACGACTCTGCCGCGTTTTCCACCCTGAAACAG